TTTGGCTTTTTTTAAGGGAAATCTATGACGGAAAAACCAAAAAAAAAAAAAAAAAAAAAAGTATCATAAACCTTTTTGTGGGTGAATTCCCGAACCGAACCTGATCCGAATATATCAAATCAGAAACTTGAAAAAGAGAAAGTGGGAAAAAAAATCCAACACCAAATCAACCACCCATTAAATATATAACCGAATCTCTCTACTCCCATTATCACCAAAAAAAAAAAAAAAAAACCTCACCGCAGAAAGATCTTTGCATTACTGGCTCGTGAATCTCGTGTCATCTCCTCACAAAAGTCGTCAAGTTTGTTTGTGTTTGCGGGACCAAGTGATTCAAAGAATATACAGCTACCACTAACTTTTGCCAACACTAAAAATCAAGAAAAATGTTACTAACATCATTGGTGATACGACGTGATAGTAAATTTTCTTTTTCCACTAGTAAAAAAAAAAAAAAAAAAAAAAAAACGTTAGGGTTCTCATTCCTCACTCAGAGCTTCTAATCAAATAAAAAAAAAAATCGTTAGTGTCTTCACTTCACTCAGTGTTTATAAAATTAACTGATCTCAGTTATATAAGAAATCAACTGATTTTATTGATGCAATAATCAAAGATCTAAAACCTATTCTCTTATCTTTTCACAACCCAAGTTTCAGCAGTCTACTTTACTGTTTTTTTTTTTAATATAAATAGAGATGTGTGTGGCGGTGTCTAATATCACTAATTCACTATATATACAGGAGTATATTAAAACTGTCATACATATAAATGAGGTTCAATTCTTTTTGTTATATGCGAGAGCTTAATGAGACACATGCGGTGGTAGTGATTTTGAATAGCAGTTTCCAACACCAAAAGATGCAAATTTATCATCCATTTGTAAAGTAAATCAACAAGATCATGCCAAATAGAAAGAACAACAACTACAAGTACTACCCCTAGTAGGGAAAATCTCATATAATTAGCACTTTAGCTTAGCTAGGTACATATAATTACATTATATTCTAAGGCAGATACCACTATAACAAAAAAAAGAAAAAAAAAAAAGAAAAAAAAAAGAAAAAAAAAAAGAAGAGAGGGCACTAACACATGGATCAAGAAGGGACAAAAGGAATCCTGATCTCATCGGAAAGATGGCTTCTCATGAAGCCCGTGAAGGAGGAAGAAGTGGGCAACTCTTCAAGCTCGTCAAAGAAATCGTTATTTTCTTCTGATATTTTGGGTTTTGAGAAGCACAAGAGTTGATGAGTACGGGACACATTGATGAGGGGCTCTTCATCCAAGGGAAACGTCCCACCAAGTAATGTGTCACATATTGTCGTTTTCTCTATTAAAGGGTCTTCTTCTTCTAGGCCAATTACTATGTCTTGGGAACATCTAATTGGGGACTGTATGTAGTGGAAATGATCTTGATCATCTTTTTCTAGCTCTGACTGATTCTTCTCTTCTTGTACCATTGGTGGAGGAAGATCATGATGATCATGATCTTCTTGATCCTTGGATTGCTTTTCTTGCTGTTCTTTGGTAAGTGTAGTTGTTGCATTAGAGATGTCAGGACCAGGATGGTTATGGCTAGAAGTGTAGGTGATTATAAGCAAGGAATCGTCTGTTTTGCATCTCTCTACTTGTTTTTTGGCTGAGCAACCTTTTGATGTGCTACACCTATAATAACCTCTGCATGAAAAGCCCAAGACAAATCTTAATTGATGGAGTTCATAAATTATGTGTCAAGAACAATTTAGAAGAAGAATTATAAAATAATATCACCCTTTAATTTGGTCATGGGGTCTAATAAATTAAGAAGAAAATTACCCCCATTTCATCTATATATACAAATTAGAAGTTGAGAAGAAATTAGAGGAATTTTATAAAGGAAATTACTTGTCGTAATTATAAATTACCTTGGATAAGGAGAGCCTTTTATGGGCTTTTGGCCATATTTCCTCCAAGACCAGAAATCAGAAGGGGGTCCTTCGTTCTTTAGTAATTTCCCTACCTTATTTGTTCCTATCCTCACTTTAACAACTGTCTTCTCCACCACCTTCCTATAAATAATTAAATGGTACCATCACAAACAAGTCCTTATGAAAGTTCCAAAATAATTAGAAGCAAGAATAAGCAGCTAAGCAGACCGTAAAAAAGAAAATTTATTAAAAAAAAAAAGGGGCTCTAGAGAAAACGTAGGCTAATTTTCCAAATTACTAAAAAAGAAGAGCAAAGAAAAAACATAAAATTTTTCTGCCATGCATGCATACCTTTTTTTGGACGCATGACTTTGTGGTCTGAGTTCTTTTGGCAAAACCTCAGAGTCCAGCTTTAGAGAGAGAGAATCATCCATGCATAAAAGGGTTGAGCAAAAATTGTGTTTTTTCTTCTTCTGTGGCAAACGAAGAAAAGAAAAGAAAAAAGCTTTTAGTAAATAGAGATATAGAGAGAGTTTGCTGCAGGAGATCAGTGTAGAAATATATTAGATCAAACAAGATCAGAACTGATCTATAATTGATTAAGAGAGAGAAAATAAAAGAAAAGAAAAGAAAAAGAAAAGAAAGGAAAGATGATAGAGGATAGAGAAGAGAAGATGAATATGACAAAAATACTAGTAGCTTTCGCTCTTTTCTTTCACTCAATAAATATAATAAGCTATATGAACAACTATCCAGGCCAATATCATCACCCCACTCTGCCCCACCCCCACAACCACCTTGCAATTAATATTATAATATCCAAAGGCCCAACCATAAATCCCATTGCTAGATATTTCCCAATCCTCTTCATCCTTGTCCTTTACAAATGCAATTTGGCACCCTGATACTATATATATATTTATACTTGTAAACTTACAATGATATAAATCCAGCTCGTAAAGGTGGCATCATAGTGTAGCGGTTATTTCATATATAATTTTATCGTATAATATAGAGTTTAAATCTCTAATGCGTTTAGTTCATAAATTCAGAATTATTCTCAATTTACGTGTGTGTTTTTATGAGAAAAAACACTGTAACAAGTCACAAATTATGACACAAATGCTTACTCCAAACACACCAAGTCCTCAATTTTTTAGTCCAATCTTGTAACGGAATATGTATAACACAAATAATATTCAATATTGAAGTTATGCTAATAAGTCACTACTAAGGCTTCGCGTTAAATATATGAAACAATTTATATGTCAGGAAAAAAATACTATTTTTTTAATATTATAATTGAGTATGCCAATCTCTATTCTTGCAATTACCTTTTCAATAAATAATTAAAAAAAAATTATACGTTAGACCATGTAGCCTTGAGAAACAAGAGTGATCTTCGTCTCTTGAGGGCGCAAAAAAAAAAAAAAAAATTCACACTAACAAATGTCACAGTCCCGTTCACTTCGCTGATTCGAGTTTGTAATTCGAAAGATGTGATTTTATTTGAGAATTTTTTACTGTAGTAAAAAAGTTAGATGTGACTGTTTCTGAGAACTTTTTACTGTAACAAAACTCAAATTTTAAACTCGAATCGGCGAAATGAACAGAGAGCATCAAGTAATATTTGAGTGTGCAATTGTCACGTGGGTCCAGCTTTAGTTCTTCTGAGAAAAAATCTGATGGTGTTAAATACCACATGTTAGTAGACGATGGATTCTATATAATATACGACTTATAAATGAAAGCCGCCTTTTTATTAGTTACGGCGGTTAACCTCAGTAGTTCTGATTTTATTTTTATATTATTTTTGTTACTTTTTCTTTCACATTAATCTATGGTCGCCACGTGGATATCGTGCTGAGTAGGCCAAGCAAAAAAAAATCCCCTCCACCAATTATATGCACTTGTTGGATAGTGTATATTCACGGATAAATTTGACAGAAAATCTCCATCATCTTTCCCATAAAGGTCACGGTCAACGTGCGACTTCTTAACACAACAAGGGAAAGGAATTAGGCTCAATGTGTGAGTTAAATTCACTGGGCGTTAGTGGGTTGACTAAGTCCATTTAGAAACACCCCGATCAATGAGCTTCAGAAAAGAAAAAAAAAAAAAAAATATATATATATATATATATATATAGTACCAATTTCAGATAAGAATCATTATTATATAAGATGGTCAAGATGTCCCTTTTGCTGTCAATAAAACATATGAACAAGTAGTACTACTACCAAAATTAATGTTCCAAAGTCTTGTTCATTGTATAGTTTTTGTGCTTAATAAGAAAAATGGGTAGAAATGTTTCCCCCTAATTTTTCCCCTTCAAGCTTTGATTGATACAAATGAAAGACCAAGTCAATTTTTGATTTGAAGATATAAGACACGAGATTCACACATAAAAAGTAAAAACATTATTTTTTAAACTATGTGACGTGCAGATATTGTGTCTCGAACTGTCATTTTGATAACGTCATCAACTATTAGACTTTAATTGTTATTAATTTTAAAATTCATGGTGCATTTTTTTAGAATTGAAAGTTTAATATCCATTATGCAAAAATGATTAGTTTAAGATGGCAATGCAATTACTTTTTTTTGAGATTTCATCTAATTTTATGGATCCAAGCTGGTAAATATTCAAAAGAGGATGTCTATCATTGCAAGAGCCAGAAAAAGTATGGCTAGTGGAATTAATGTGATCATCAATGGATCAACCACACCCAGTCATTTGATGTCCAACTAATTAATGGGCTATTGGACCCTCTGCACAGCCTGATCATCTTGGTCACTTCAGCAATTTTGAGCCCACCAAGCTCCTATGGAAGAGACAATCAAAAGAGTACCCTTTTGAGCTATTAGATAACACCAAAATAACTGATTATACATAAACAAAGAAGGTCAAAGGGTATATATTATGTAAATAGTGGTTATTAATTCTTGTATTTTTTAAGCAATAAGAGAGAAGAATCACTAACTGATCTCATTTAAGAAATGAGTGAAGCTCATGTTAGGTTAGGTTTTGAGGAGTGTCAAAGCAACAATTAAGAGAAGCACCATTAGAAAAATCAGAATGTCGAGATCATGAGAAAATTAATGGATAATCCATACGTACTTGTGGGGTCGGGATAGGATTATCAATTAATCATTTACCATTAATCCAATTTCATTATGTATAATCCTTCACATCATAGGACATGTTGGTTGGAGTGGGTTAACGTGTTGACTTTATAAAATTATGATCAGTAGGGATGTCTTAAAATTTATAAATAGAAACACGACAAATTAACTAGCATAACATTGTTTGTATAATATATGAGACTGTCTCTGGTAGGCCGTCTTATCGGTAGAACTAGTTTTCTGACCGTTAAATCTAGTTGAAATTAAATAAGATTAAAAAAAATATGCAGAACAAATAGTTTCTAATGTAGATTTAACGGCTGAAAATAGTTGAAAATAGTTTTATTTATTTTTTGATCGTACGAGAGAAACTCCCTAAATATATATATAGTAAATTAACAACTTTGTTTGCCCTCTGCAATTCTTATACAACAGTATAAATGACATTTCATATCAGGCACGCGATGCTAGCTAGTAGCTTAAATTTTACGCTTTAACTTTTAACATATAATATGAGATCAAAAGAAAAAACAATCTTATAACATATATTTGATTGTTCTTCTCATAGAATTCATGGATTCAAACAGTACTACTAATATATTAACTCTCTATTAAGACGCATTTACAAATTCTTCATGAAGTATAATGGTATTAAACGTGCTTGGATATTGTTGTTTTTTAGAATGATTTTCTTTTAGAACATCAAAATCCTTCTTTTTTTTTTTTTTTTTTTTGAAGCTAGTCTATTTTATATATTGGCTCTTCTAGTTTCTTTAATAATGTCGTGTGAAAAAAGGAAAAAGAAAATCCATTACGGTTATTTGGCTGCAACTTGCCACGTTGGAATGGCTCAAGTCAAGGGAGACAACTATATATTCCCGGTTTAGAATCATACATATATATATATACACACACATATTACAATATTATATATGCACGTACACGGTACACACTACAAGACATAGATATTAATCACATAATTTAACTTAATGCATATGTGAAACATATATGATAGAAGGGGGGAAAAAAACCAAGATTTTTTAAAACGCCAAAATCTTTTGTTAAGCAAAATAATAAAATTCACGTATTCCATTACCTGGTTGTCAAATTATATTTAATACACGACCAACGACGTGGCAACCACTTTATATATATTCCTCTCTCCGCAACTAATAATTGGGTCAGCTCACCTCAGCTGGTAAACATGATCAAGACATATAAACCCTAACAAATCATGATATATACATTATATTATCAACGTCAATATATATGCATTTCTTGTCACATTTATCCAAACAAAACAAATTCAGCTTTTGCCAAAAAAAAAAATGCAGGTTGATCATCATCATCATCAAACCTCTTCTGGTCATAATATTGATCAGAAATATTCCCAGAAGAAGAAGTTTTTCATCAATTATTCAGTCCTAATTATGAATAATATCAAAGGGCCATTTCGCGTCATAACAACGACACTCCTCAGCCTCTTACTTCCGCTGTCGTTTCTCCTCCTGGCAAGGCTTTCCTCCGTTCGTTTCGTCTTAAGCCTCACCTCTTTTCCCTCCCCAGAACCCTCCACTTTCTTCTCCATTTTCCTCTGCACAAACCCAGCTCTCCTTTACTCTCTCGTCTCCACTGTAAGCATTTCAACTCTCATTCACAATCTCACAGGTAACAAACTCACTCTCTTAAGCCCTTCTTCTTCTTCTGATCATCATGATCAAAATTATATTCGACGTCCAAGATTATACGCTTCATGGTTTTTTCTCTGCACGCTTCAAGTCTGCGTCGGGTTAGGAATCGAAGGAAGCGTGGCTTTAGGGACGGATTATAGTTTCTCGAGCTTTAATGGTACGGACAAGAGGACGTTGTTCAGTAGAGTGATATTTTTCCTTGGTTTGCATGAGACGATGATTCATTGGTCAAGACTGGGGGTGAGGCCGGTGGTGGACGACACTATTTTCGGTGTCGTTTCGACGACCGAGAAGTGGGTTCAGAGAGGGGCCATGGCCGGAGGTTTTACGAGCCTTTGGTATTGGAGGATGAGGGATGAGATTGAGTCGTTGGTGGTGGTGGCTGAGATCAAAGGAGAGATGTCCATGGCCGTTGGATTGGGTGACTTTGCTGGGTGGTGGTTGTATTATCTGACGGTGACGGTTGGGATGGTTAGGCTTGTTAAGGGTCTTATGTGGGTTGGCATGTCTTTGTTTTGTTGTAGGAGGTCATTGGGATTAACATTAGATGATGATGATGATGAAAATCATGATCACGAAGACAAAGTCTGAAGCAACGGCAATGTATGTTAGTCTTCCATTGTTTTACCAACTTCTACCAAATACCTTTAACAAAAAAAAAAAAAAAAGAAAAAAGAAAAAAAGAAAAAGAAAAGAAAGATTCTTGCTTATTGTATACTGCTCTTGAAACAAGAAAGGGTCCATTAATTGACCAATATATTAATGTACTCATCCTTTATTATTCTTTGTCATCAACAATATTTTTTGGTCATTTCACATCGTTTTTATTTATTACAAATTAGTTGGTTGGGAACTCAACTTCTACCATATATATATATATACACACACACACACACACACCTACCTTTTTCCTTTTTTTTTTTTAAAAGATTATTGCTTAATGTATACTCTTGAACAAGGAGGGTCCATTAATGGACGGATATATTGTACTCTATTTATCATTTTTCCGTTGTGAACTTTATTAATTCTGATACTGAGTCTAATGACAACTATGTATATACATAATATATATGCAAGTGGATGAATTTATAATTCAGAGCAAACTTATTTCAAGCAAACAGAGGGTACTAATTAATTAGCTGATCACGTAGTTTGTTGTGTGAGTGTGTGCACCAGGTTTGAATTCCAAAATTTTATTTTTTATTAGTAAAGTAGCAACCATAGACCCCGCGGTGTATTAAAGAAAGTGAAAGAAATAACAACTTTTTTCAGGAGAAAAAAGTTATATCCTAACTTTCATGACATAATCCAACCATTAATAATTATAGGCTAATTTTGTAGTTCCCATTACTTGTATTGCTTGTCTTTTGATTTTGTCCTTTCAAAACACTCACAAGTCAGTAACGTTTGTCTTTAATTATTAGACTCCTAATTCATTTCCCATTCTCATCCGGATTTTGGCTCATCTTCTTTTCTAATTATTAATTTTGGTGGAATATTTCATAAAATATATCCTGCTGATGTACTCACATTTGTCTTCCTAATTGGACTCTTCCTCTTGCACTGGGGATAAAAACGTAACCCCACATGCATATTTTAATATATGTACATATAGTACTCTTTATAGAATAGTTCTTTAATCAAATTCTAGCAAGGCATACATTATTACGTCTCCATACAAGCCTACTGACCTCCATTGATAACATCGATCGCAATATCGCTATCACTTGGAGGTTTAAACATCATGATTCATAACCAACCAAGGACACAAATGATCATATACAATTGTATTTTTTTGATAGAGATTATCATCTCATAAACGTATTACTAAGTTTAGTCTTCCAGCTTTCTGTGAGATGGCTAATGATCATCATTCGTTCTATCTTAGTTCACCATTCAATTTCGATGAAATCCAGGGCGGCAACTATGTTCCTATTTCAGATCATCATCAAGATGAGGAGCCGATCTTCAGTGTAAACAAAGCGAAAAACGACCATTTGTTGGGTTTGGAAGACCATGGAGATCATGATCTTTCAGTTGATTATCATCAATATGGCAATAATTTCACTGGTCAAAAAGGACAAGCTGATCATCAATTTTCCAAAGATCAAGATCAACAACAACAACGCTCCATTTTCGACGATTTTGACACGAGCTCCATCTTCCTACCAACACAACCAACGGAAGAAATTAGTACTTCTAGTACTTTTAGTACAACTCATAATATTGTAGAAGCGATTAAGCAAAAGCCAATTCAAACGCCTTTGTCTTCCCTAAAGCTCCTAAGCAACAACAGAAACGCCTTCAACAAGTTGAAGATTGAAAACTTCATAACCAAATTACCACAAAGCAGCAGCTATAACAAGACTTATTCTCTCCGTCAGAAGCTATCAACCGAAGATATCGTGAGGATCGCCGGAGCAAGATACATACAATTCTCGGACCAAGGCAATTACCATGGTTACTGCACGCCTTTACACCCTTTTGGCTGCGCTCTCTCAGGCCTCTCTGATGGCGAAACAAAAGACGTCGAGCTCGTCCACATTCTCCTGGCAGCGGCCGAGAAAGTAGGCTTCCAACAGTTCGATCGGGCGACCAGATTGCTCCAAAACTGTGAAGTGATCGCCGCCTCTAGATCCAACCCTGTCGAGAGAGTTGTCGCCGTTTTCGCTGGAGCTCTTCGAGAGAGGATTGAGAGAGAAAATGGAAGCATGTTCAACAGTAGTACTAGACCAAAGAGAGTAGTGTTTGTGGAGAAAAATTTAGCGGAAAACGATGAGATAACACAAGGATTGAGTACTAACCTTGCGACGCTTAGATACCACCAACAGGTTCCTTTCCTTCAAGTGATGCAGTTCCCAGCTATCCAAGCTATAGTGGAGAGTTTTGAGCCTGCGACTAAGCTTCACTTGATTGATCTCGAGATAAGAAGCGGAATCCAATGGACAGGTACTAATGCCAGGCAATATCCAATCTATAGTAAAGATTGGATTTTTAAGATTAATGATCTCATCCAATCTATGATAATTATGCATAAAATGAAATCTTAAACTAGTTTAATTATTGAATGTGAAGATTAATTAAGAATGCCAAAACTAATTAAGAGAAAAAAAAAATAGAGCATTACTAGAGAAATTAAAATTTTCAAGCATATTTCTTCAACCTAAACAAACAAGTACTCTTCCCTGTAATCATGTACAGAAGAAATAAGAATTAGTATAGCATGAATATTTATTGTCAAATTTTCATATAATCAAATATTTAAAACTATATATATATATATATTTAAAATGCATTGGATTAATTAGTGCAGTTTGGAAGATTAGATTTCGCAATTTAGAAAAAGAAAAAAGAAAAAAAATTGACATAGTCTAATCCATTTAGATTTTCTTTTCATCCAATCTAGATTGGTCAATTATCTAATTTATACATTGAATAATTGTCTCTCTTATATGGACAGGATTGATGCAAGCGCTAGCTGCGCGAGAGGAAAGGCCAATTGAGCTTCTTAAAATCACTGCCATTGGAGTAAGAGGAAAGCAGAAAATAGAGGAGACGAGAAAACGTTTAGTGAGTCTCGCGGAATCTTTGAACCTGCTCTTTTCGTTTAACGCAGTGATTGTCTCGGACATGGAAGATATCAAAGAAGAATTGTTCGAAATCGACCGCAATGAGACCGTCATCGTTCACTCCTCGTTATTCCTAAGGACAATGCTTTGGAGGCCTCATTGCCTGGAAAAGCTAATGAGAGTGATCAGGAATCTTAGGCCTTCCATGATGGTGGTGGCGGAAGTGGAAGCAGATCATAATTCACCATCCTTCGCAAGGCGATTCATCGAGGTGTTGTTCTTCTACGCCGCGTTCTTCGACTGCTTGGAGACTTGCATAAATCTGGAAGATTTTAGGACAACGATGGAAGAAATCTTAGCTGTCGGGATCAAAAACATGGTGGCGACGGAGAGGAGTGAGAGGATTTATAGAAATGTGAGAATAAATGTGTGGAGGGCTTTCTTTACCAGGTTTGGAATGGTGGAGATAAAACTGAGTGACTCATCTCACTACCAAGCTAGCCTTGTGGCTAAACAGTTTGGCTGTGGGAATTCATGTACTCTTGAAAGGAATGGCAAGTGCCTAATGGTTGGGTGGAAAGGAACCGCAATTCATTCCTTTTCAGCTTGGAAGTTCCTTTGATATATATAGAAGATATATATATATATGTGTGTGTGTGTGTGTGTGTAGTTCTGCAAAATTTAACTAGTGTGATGTTCTTGGATTGTTCCTTCCAATTTACTCCTTTTGTTTTTATTGGAGTGTTCATTTAAAGTTAACTTGTTGTTGACTTGTTCTTCATCGTTCTCGCCGTCCCCTTCCACCATGCTGTCGATGATATCTCGATCGTCTCTAGGGGTCGTCGATCTCCTGAAGCAAGGGATCGTCGTCACTGTGTTCATCTCATTTAGTGGACGTTTGGTTCATGAATTCAGAATTATGATTCATAACCATTCTCATTTTAGTGTGTTTTTTTTTTAAAAGAAAAACACTGTAGAGAACCATAAATCATGATTCAGAATCATGGATGAATACAAGAAACAAATAACCCCTTAACCTTTAGAAACTGCACTATATAAAGTGTTGAAGCCTTGCCTCCCAACAGCTTAGATTAAAAGTAAGTGGGAGCTGAAGAGATGCCTGACACGGAGATGTGATGTATGACGTTATCGACATGACTGATTACGCTTCTGAAGAAGCATCTTCAGATACGAAGGCATCATTGCCTAAGACTAGAATCCTTTGTGAGCAAGTAAATCCTAAATGGAGAATCAAAATGGAGAACACTCTTGGACAGCTCGAAGCAATCCAGATGAATACCTCGAAGCAATATGCTCATCAAAACGCGTTCGTAATGAATTTAATTAAAACCCTCTTTAATTAAAATATTACTAATACATGTGATAACTAGAGTTATTTTCTCTCACATTTGCATTTCAGTTAGCTTGCTCTCAAGAATTTTTTGTTGATTTGTAGGTTTATTTTAATTATTTATGTTATTTCTATTTTAATTTCCCCTCTATTTATTTATTTTATCCTCATTTGTCTAATTAAATTAGGTGAAAGGTGTAATTGGCAATTTAATTGGAAGTAAAAAGAAGTAAAAACTGGAATAAATTAAAATTTCATCCGGAATAGGAGATTTCCCACGCGCAGAGTTCATCACACTTAGCCTCCCTCACGTGCACTTGCACGCTCAGCTTCTTCCAGAGTGCCACATCGCCAAGGCTAAAGACTTCTTTTCCTTTGTGCTCACGAAAAGATTTGAAGGCTTTTTTTAGATCCCTCAATGCTTGATTTGAAGGCTTATATAGATCTCTCACCACTGGATTCGCAGAGAATAGATGGAATCTGAATCGGATTTGGATATCAAGAGCTCTCTTCAATCCTTTAATGGCGGACATGCGCTCTGGAGATTCTCGTCGGATGTGAGTTATCAAATCTTTTTGTTGGTAATTATCATTTTTTCTCATTTCTTGTTTTAGTAAGATACTTGACCACCGATTAGGTAAACAATATTTGCTTCCTTAATAATTCTGTTAAAACAATGACAAAGAATTTGACCACCGGAAATCTAACCAGAAAAATTCAAGAACATAAAACCATCATAAAACATCACAAGAGAAAACTTTCTAGAACTGAAGTTTATTGAACCAATCAAAAACATAATACAACCACCAATTTCCTCTGAGAATTCTCGAGAAACAAACACCCTTTATCACCTCTTTCAATCACTCTCTAGAACCCAGTGAATAGAGAAGACTTTTTTTTTTACTCAGAGGAAAAGAAACAAGAATTGTCTAGAAAGAAATAAAGTTCCCAATTCTCTATGCACGACTATATACAGTTTTGATCTTATCCTTAAGGCAATTACAAAACCACCCCTATGTTCTTTCACATGAATGCTCTGTTTGGTAAGGTGGAAAGAAAATAAAAAGGAAAGGAAAACTATAATGCATAGAAAATTAGAAGGATAGAAAAGATTTTGATTTTTCCTTGACTTGTTTGGTATGATAGGGAAGAAAGCAAATGAATCTACATTCCCTTGTTTGGTATTGAAAGTGAAACTAAAGAGATGAAAAAATTATTATTTGTGTAATTACTTTTTTACTCAAATATTTTTTATTAATATTTTTTTCTAATAAAGTATAAATAATGCAGTATTCAACATCAAATTAACTCAAAAAAATCATGTAACTTGAACATATATTCCATCTATATTATGTATATACACACACACATACATATATAAAGGTACAAAAACATAGTTTAACTTATATAGCATTAATGCATCAGTAATTTTTTTAACGTTTAAATACAACAAAAGAGTAGGTAGCTACAGTTTAAATACAACAACTTGTTGAAGGTTCAAATACAACAAAAAAATAACTAGTATACTGTACATCTACTATTGTAAAGTAAGCGAAATTTTTCACAAAAGTATTAATTTATATGGTCATATATATTTTTCAATATTCATCTGCAGTCAAGTATTAACAAAAATCATATGTGATCAGGACCACGTCTAGAGTACAACTCTTGACATTGCGTAGCAAAGCATCAAAGGACAATGTTTTATGGCTAACCACATTCCTAGCATAGATCCACTTCCTCAAGTTCCAAATCTATATCCATTATATTTTCAGCAAAAACTCTGTATCCATCATCTACTAAATCACCCATAAAGGCCTTAACTTTTACCATATACTAAAACCACATCTCAATTACAAAATCATTCTAATTCATATCAGCTATTCTCCACGAGTTAAAACTAATATCCGAGCATAAGAGCTTCACTTAACAATTAAATTGCTGCTTTTTTATGTTTTTGTTGTCTCTAAAGCAATGCCAAAAAAAAGCAAAACAAAATTGAGAATTGAACTAATTGATTCCTATGCTATACTTCCATAACCAAGATAAAAAAACAACTTTTACTCAGATACATATATTTGATATCACATAATGCAATGCCATAGAAAGAACCAATAACCATACAACTCAGTATCCTTTTGTTTTTAGAAAAACTATATCCAAATACAAACAGAGGGCACAAAACTAAATTCTCAGCCGAAAGAAAAAAGGAGCTCAAAAAATCAAACAAAGAAGCAACAATACAATTTGAAATCACTGAATCAACCATGGTTTTTGTTTTATCCACAACATAGGGCCCAAAACATCAGCAAGCACAACAGCGGTCTAAATCGACAATCAAAACGAGAGTCATGGAGCCAAGACGACAACATGCAGAGATGTATTCAATTGGGGCAAACGACAGTGAAATCACGCACAACCATTGATCGACATTCACAACAAATAGAAACATAATATTGCATTCATAAACACATTACTAAACAACACCTTATGTTAAAACATGGCAAAGTAAAGAAACTGCCATTAGATCATCTAGATAACACCATAAGGTTGCATAACAAAACATGTTCTTAATACAAAAAATAAAACATGTTCATATGTTCTCATTACAAAAAGTAAACATGTTCTCAGTAGAACAATCTAGTAATAAATTACTATCAACATATATTTTCTAGTGATGTGCATAGTCTTGCCACATATCTTGTGCTATTTTGTTCCTTAAAGTTGCTCCATTTCTAGCTTCTTCATTATCCTTTTGTTCAGAGTAGACACTTTCTATCCCAGGCTCTCTTTCTAAAAGCTCTCGATCAACCGCTTCAATTATTTGTTGATCAGGATCCACGCCCACTAGATAGTTATGCAAAATACAACAAGCTAACATAATTTCAGTGGCTATTTTAATAGGATAGTGTTGCTCTGCACTGGTAGATATTATGGAAAATCTTTTTTTAAGCACCCCAAAAGTTCTCTCTATGGTGTAATTAGTCCACTACGCAACATGTAACCCGCGTCAACCAGATAATATTTTCCTGATGAAGTAAATCAACATTTATTGTCTTAGTATTTTGTGGGTAAATAATTTCAAGAACTAAATAAAACTTATTGTTACCTCTAGGAATTATAAGTTTATCTTCCCTAGACAAAGCATTTTTTATAATTCTTGAGTCGGATGCACTTCCTTCCCACCCTGGTAATACGTATGTAAACCTCATATCAAATCCACAAGCTGCCATAACATTTTGTGTTGGATAATCTTTCCTTCCACAATATCGTGGTGCATCTTTCCTAGGTACATTTACTCGAATATGTGTCCCATCAATGGCTCCTACACAATTATGAACATTAAACTAAAGTTAGTATTGATTTTCAACAAGAATCAGAAATAAAACTTAAAACGATTAAGTTTTTGTTTACCTCAAAATATGGATAGAACCTGTGACTATCAACTATTTGTTGAGGAACCTCTGCTCCATTTGGCTGAACTAAGAATTGATCTTCTAAACTAATTATTGCTCGTAGTACCTCATGAAAATGTCGACTTATTGTTTCATTAGATCGGCGGAAGAAAAAAGAAATAGTTCAGTTTTTAGCATTATGCGCTAATATATATAGAAACTTGGCTACTTGTTCCTCTACCACATAATTTTTATTATCCTTAAGACGACCAGTGTCTCGAAATAATCCACACAACCTAGCAAATGCTCGAGGCCCCATTCGAATTACGTCCCGACATTTTTCATTTACGCTAAGTTGAGTCATGAGTTCCCTTCTCACACTATCACTTTCTCTACTTATGTTGACAATGCTCCTATCAACGTAATCTGAGCAATAGTGTAATTGCATTATATACACTATCTGTATCACATAGCAAACAACTTGTACACCAACCCTACTTCTACATCTTTCCCAACTTCTAAAAGGTCTTGTAACAGCTTCTTCATGAATGTCTAGTTGATTACACTCCAAAACATTATCCTCTTGACTTTCCTTGAAACTCCATTCAAAATTTCTCATCTACTTGGAAATTTTGGAAATGGTTCTAATCAAAATTATATATAGAATACTAATGCAACATATCTTAAAAATTAAAAAAAAATGTTAAGAAAATAAAAAAAAAATCTAAAAAACAGACATCATGAAAATCTAAATAAAATACAACATATCCCATTGAACATAGGCAACTACCATAAATCTGAATTAGAATAAATACATTATGACAATAATTTAGGGAAAAAGAAAACAGGGAGAGACTTTGCTTTATTCACATTCAATTCAAAAACCCATAGCATTAGAATCCATTAGAGAGCTTCCCAAAGCTAATTTTAAAATTGTCAAATAAAATTTATTAGACAAGCAAAAGAAAAAAAATTTGGACGAGTAAATTGTAAAAAAAAAAAAAAAAAAAAGGAGAGAGAACGAAACAAGAAGAAGCAAGGGAGTGAGAGATTCATTTACAAAGCTAATTTTAAAATTGAAGTTTAGACCATGTACCTTCAATCTTGAATAATAATAAAACTACCTTCAATCTTTAGAAATTTTCCCGTGTGAAAGGTGTGTTGGTGTGCTGAGTGGAGAGAGAAAGCCCATTTATCTCTTCTTTCTGGCAAAAAAAAAAAGCGCCAACTTTTGGAGCCAGATTAAAAATGAGGACAATTTAGTAATTTAGGTAGTTATCCACATTTTTCTTCCTAAAATCCTCCCACTTTTGGAGAGATTAAATATGGTGGGACCCACTAATCACAATTTCCATTCAATTTTCTTTTCCTTCCCAATTTCCTTTCTACCAAACAAGCTAATGTACCAATTTCGATCCTAAAATTCCTCCAACATTTTCTTTCCTTCCACTTTTCATTCATACCAAACATAGTGTAAGACCGACTAAAGAATTCAACAAATTCTTCCACGTGTCTTCATCCAATTGGTCTCAACTCAATTGACTTGGATTCACCTGTTGCAACAAATTCGAATGTTACAGTGAATACTCCTAGTTATACAATGACGAATTACATATAATGCAATAGCCAATTTGAAATTGGGTTTTGGTAATGGATTACCATATTAATTTTTATTCATTTATTTTTAGGATAAAGCCGAATCAACATATAGTGTTTGAAATAGACACTATTTCATTTGGATATCTTATTTGAATTGCTTCGGTTTATTTTTTAAGACATATTGATATGGCCACAATGTGTGCATATACATATATATATATATATATATATATATATCAAACTTAGAACTGTTTGTATACTGTGTTATTGGAATTTCTTCTCGCCCTGTTTTAGGCCGCATAATATTAGACATATCTTGTTTAAGGTAACCGCTTGGTATACTTTTAGTTAGGACTTGTCCTATTTGGTTTGGTAAAGGGTCAACCAGCCCAGGAGACACAAGTGGAAGCTAGCTTGGTGCCCTACTCGGTTAAAGGTATCATTAAAGAATGGGCCATAAAAAGAAAAAAAAAGGAAAAGTGATAAGTATTCGGAGCTGGGTCAAAGCAGAGAGAGATCATTGGAAAAGGGAATGATAATTCCAATATTATTCCACATGCATGGCTGGTGTTTCCTTTTATCATCTCATAGTTTTATTAGCTTGCTTATTTGCATTACTTGTTGTTTATTTGACCTCACAAATTTGATGATTTGTGAGGAAGCGATCTTTCAGAGGGATTCACTTGAAGATTGGGAGGTCACTTCTCTTGAACATTTTGCTCAAAAAGGGGAGGCCTAAAAAGAAAATAGTGAGTACTCGTGTATTTTTTTTTCTTATTTTTTGTTATACAACTCTTCAAATCAAATTAGAGACTCTTCACTATTAATTAATGATCTAAAATTAAACAATTTCTTCCTCTTAACCCTTTACAGTTGCAGCTGCCACCGCACCCTTCGCCGCCACCACAGCTCGTGGCCCAATATGATGATGAAGATTTGATTTGCATCAAGATGCTTTCATCATCGGACGTTGACAAGAATTTTGAAGTGCCCCAAGCACTTACAGAGCACATCATCCCACCACCTCTCATGCAACGGTTCCCTATCTACCTCCATCATCCCACCACCTATCATGCAACGGTTCCCTATCTACCTCCACGATTCTGAGGGTGTCTCAACTGTTCAAGTAAGTAACTCTTCTGAGGGCGTCTCAACTGTTCAAGTAAGCAACTCTAGCACGAGTGAGTGGCGTCTCAACTGTTCAAGTAAGCAACTCTAGCACGAGTGAGTGGGCGCATGATCTTCCTCACGTGTGACTAGAGAATCTTTCACTTTATGCGGGTGATGAGCTCTCATTTTACAAATTAGACAACGACGGAAAATCTTTCACCTTACTAAAGGTATTTATGCGGGTGATGAGCTCCCATTTTACAAATTAGACGACATCTCTGCGAGAAAGCCAACTCTTAAATCTTAGTTTTAACTTTTATCTATTTTGTTCAGTCATTTTGATAAATATTACATTAGTGTTTCGCTCATATTCCTTGAGTTGCACTGACGAAAGACTTGGATTTTATACACCATTCACTACTCCCCTCTCTCTTATTTGGGCGATGTGGGACAATTCGTTGCTTAGAATTTCATTACTTCACTTCCTCAAAAGTCATATACGACTGTATGCGCATCTTGAGCCTCTTGAGAGCATTTGAAGGCTAATGGTTTCTCCTAGTCTCGTATAATATTTTTAGATTCATTATTCAGTTTCGTGGATTTATTTTCAATGTTTACTTGTTAATTTCCATCATTTCAGATGTATTGTTGTGTTGCTTTGGGTCAAATTTTGATTCAATGATTTATAGGTGAGAGTGAAATAAGAACTAAAAAATCTCAATTATCCCCACGTCTAACTTGAAAAGTCACTGAAATTTATAGCTAACTTTTTAGTTGGGTCAAAGATAAGACTCGTCCAAAAAAAAAAAAAAACACATAAAACTCATCTAACTCATTCAACCAGCTAGTTTTGCATTCTTAGCAAAAACCAATAAGTTTTATAACAGTGTTGTTCTTGGCAAGTCAAGTTCATCTAGATTATTCAAAATATCGCTCAATCCCATTAGTTTGTTATAGCTTTCTTAAGTGAGGGATTATGCTTCTTTTCCCTACTGCAGTGAGAGATAGCATGGTTGAGCAATTAGAATCAACAAAAGAATAAGTTTTCAAACATAAATTTATCCTAATAATCCCAATGACAAATAAAAGCATACTACAAAAGAATAAATAGCCTATAAAAATAGGTTAATAGTACACTACACGGCCCATTATAAAAAATAAATAAAAGAAAGAAAGAAACCAAATATAAGGTCTAAAAAGACGGAAGATGTGAAGGAACCGGTGTTGGCCATGCAAGATGCATGAGAGGGAAGGTACTAAATCGTTCATGTGAATTTACAGCTAGTTTAATTTTTTTGAACTTTCCATCTAAATGTTCTAAAAGCCAGTCGGCCTTTGCATTGATAGATACTTGAAGCTCGTCGACCTTTTCATACATGTCTTCCTTAATCTTATATTGGAAAATATGATTGTCCCATATCATAAAAATCACATTACTGTTGTCTGGATGAACAACAAGCCCAACCATACTCTTAGTCTTATGCGGCCTTTTCAAGTATATCTCATGAACCAAATCCCACGAAGTGGAATAATTCAATTCCCAAACTTTCATAACAAAGCAATCCTCATTTGAGCTGAAAACTTGTAACATCCGCAGCTCTCCACATACAGCTCCCAAGTGTACTTTGCCATAGGAATTCTGCCATACGGACCAAAAGTCATCAGGAAAGTCGATGACACGACATTGATCATTGAACAAATCAAATGCAACAATTCTGTCAAAAGAACACTTATTTTCACGCCAATATAGAATTCCATTACATGTAACAACATCAACGTAATCGCTACGCCGGACCTTTTTGGACCGTGGATATGAGAAGAGTGACTGGCTCCATTTTCCTGATTTAGAACAAAAAATTGTTGCCCGAAATGCAAAACAATCTTCCCCAATATGCGCAGAACTATGGATTAAGACCACCTTGTATTCGTAATGACCGTTGATAGAGAATCAAAGTTGTGAGTTGCTAATGTTGGGGATACATACTAATGCAAACCCAGTTTGAAAGCCTCTAGGAGCCTCAGGAAGTTAAACCACTGTTTTGTAAGTGGATTACAAATATAGTAATCTCTGCCAGGACGTCCACTAGATGCTACAAGCAATAAGTCAGCAAACGAGGCCCTTATAACCACAGATGAAGGCATGAAGTCCAAATAACTAGATGCTCCCTTTCCATGGAGAAACTTTGATTCCTCAGAGAATAGCTTACAAAATGGTTGAACACATTGCATGTCGAAAAAAAGGTCATCGGCTCTTCGAAATAAGATGGTGTAGGGTACTGAGTAGCGATCTTGCAAGTCATGACGGTGGCGAATGCAATTCGGAATAAATTTAGGGTGTGAAATCACAGAATGCCAACGACGACAGATAGAACCAAATAGAATGGCAGATCGACAATTGGGGAGTCTAAGAAATACCTCGAACAATATGTCCTCATGAGCATTTTTCAAGAATTTGGATACTACAAGTAATAAGAGGAAGAATTAGTTAGTATGCAAACCAAAAAAGAATTATTCAGGTTATTAACAAAATACGCACACATACGCAAAAAAGGTCATTTATGCACAAGCTTACCTAGTTTAGTATCAGGACATTCATTGGAAGAAATATCATTGGAACCGTAACTTTATTGTTTCTCCTCATCTTTGTTTCTTTGCGTCTAATGTAAGCCCTTTTCTTTGCCTGTCAAAAACATACATAACATAAGAATTGAAATTTTTATTTTATGGCATGATCTCGCAACAGCTCGGAAAGATTAAACATAACATAACTTTGAGACTAAACAGTTTCTCACAATACAAAAGACACTTTGAAATTTGCAAATAAAAAATCAAAATTTCTTCCAAAGAAAATCCATTTAAGCCGAAAAATAGAAGCTTTTATTTTCTGCGAAAAAAGAAAGGAACTGTGCATATAAAAAGACTCGGACTTTGAAATTTGTAACTCATATGTTTTAGAATTATAGGAGGATAATCAAACAAAAAAAATAAAAAGCTTCCGAACAAAAAGAATGAAACTTTGTATTCGCACAAGCTTCGGCACTAACATATATGATTCATCAGAAAAATAAAAAATACAAAAACTTTTGAGATCTGGTGCAATAAAAGAAAAAAAAAATCCCAGAAGGAAAAAAATAATTGAAAAAATTGAACTTGATTTATTCTTAAGCGAAAAAATCGAAGAAAATCAAACCTCAATCATGATGGAGCGAGCCGCCTCAGCCCTTTTCTCCATAAACGCAAGACCATAAGTGCCTCTTTCTCTTTGACTTCATGTTTGAGGCAACAAAATCACAAATGCAATCAGCCTCAACCTTTGATATCTGATTTGTTTTTTTTTTTTTGGGTTTTTTATAAATAGAATAATAGAAGAGAGATCTGATGGCATGAATTGGATCTGAATGACGGCGGATAAAATGTGGCTTTGCCTAGGTCTGACAACATCCTCAGACTCGAATTCAAATCTCCATCAAACAAAACATCTTAATATGGATCGGGCAAAGGCCTTACCCGATGAAGCGTTGCGTAGAGTTTTCTAGTCTATTTGTAATTTGCAGCGTTTAGGTCCAATCCATGTATCCAAACAGTATGCTTTTTCTTCTATTCCCGTACGTTTTGGAAACGCTGCTATATTTTGGAAATTTTGCCATTTAGGCCCAATCCATGTATCCAACAGGTTCCTTTCCTTCAAGTGATGCAGTTCCAAGCCCAACAGGTTCTATGAATCCATCCGATTGATGCCATGTCGGATATCTCCAAAGTCCCATGACGTGTGAGTCACAGAGCATGTGCGCCACGTCAGAAGAACGTCACACGTGTCAATCATATGCATTTTCATTTCATTTCATTTTAATTTTTTATTTTTCCTAAATTGAGACTTGACAGTTCCGCAGAGGCAGAGCAAGAGCTGTGCCGCGCATAGCCATGGTGGTCTCCAAAGCGAGCGACTCTGCTTCCAAAATCAGAGTCAGTCTTTCTCTCTCCTCTTTCTCTCTCTATACTATACGCAAATCTTTATCTCTTTGGTTCTTGATCATCAAATGCCTTCGCTTTGTTGATTATTTTGTCGGCTCTGTTTTGCCTTTTCGTCGACGTTTTCTGTAATTTGATCGTAATCAGAATGATTGGAGTAAACGATGATCGAGAGCGGAAATTACTTAAATTTGACAAATTTTATAATAGGAGGACCAATCAATGGATTTTTCAGCTCAATTTGGGACTCGAATTATTTGTTTTAATAACATTTTTAGAAAATATGGAGATATATTCGGTAAACTGTCTTAACTGTGTATTTTCTGTATAATTTGATGAATTTTGTAATTTTTGTGCAAATAAATCGAATGGAGGACAGCCAAGCGATGGTCTTGGAAACTTGGTGCAGAAGATGAATCATCTGAAGAAGCAAATTCAAGCAGAGAGAATCGTTTCAATAAGAGTATGTATGCTTTTTTGATATATGATTCCGTTTTTTTCTTTTTGACTACTTGTTTTCTTTTCTTTTCTTTTTATATAATTTTTTATTTATTGGCTAGTGAACTATTCTGTTTGATTGAATGCATTCAATATCGTGATTGTGGTTTTGGGGTAGTAAGAAGGAATTTGATAGTAGTAAATGTTATTATAACATGAGTCGTTGTGTTTGATACTTTGCTCTTAGGAAAAACTTGAGAAGAATGGGAAGAAACTGGAAACTCACATTTTGCAGATTCTATCACCAACATCTACAAAACATACTTCAAATGGGGAAGAAAATGGAAGTGGGAAAATGCTCCCTTGGAGAATTGAACACCCTCTTTGTAAATTTAGTGGGTGTGCTCAGGGGTTTGGAGATAAAGACCCTGTTAGTTGCCATGACATTGCACCTCCAGCAAGTACCAAGTTGACTTATGTTGAGAGGTTACCGCCTTATACGACATGGATATTCTTGGACAGGTATGGTGGTGTGGTCAATAGTGATTTTTTGGCGCATTTACATTCTTTTAGTTGGGAAAATCTGTTAGTGTTCTTTGTATCTGAAATTTGCAATACACAGTACAGGAATCAGAGAATGGCTGATGACCAGTCAGTGGTTGGGAGGAGACGAATTTACTATGATCAGCATGGTAGTGAAGCGCTGATATGCAGCGACAGTGAAGAAGAGATGCCAGAACGCGAGGAAGAGAAACGTGAATTTACTAAGGGTGAAGATCGGATTTTGAGGTAAGTTTAAACTTTGGAAGATGCTAGACTTTCAAAAACGACCTCTTTGCTTCCACAGAGGAACTCAAAGGTATGTCCAATTGGGGCTTAGATTGTGGCCAGCAGCCTCTTTTCCTGAAAATGCCCACTGAAGCCAAAGAAGATGTATTGTATTCAATCTAAGTGATTGTACCTCTGTCTGAGTTTATACCCCACTTCATATCTAGTTAAGATGTTCACTTTCTCTTTGTTGAGTTGGCAGGACGGTCTTTCGCGAGCATGGGTTAGGTGAGGATGTTGTGAAAACTGTGAGCAATTTTATTGGAGCCACCACTTTGGAAATTCAGGTAGTCTGGTTCAGTTCATTTACTCAATATTGAAGACAGTTAGGTTCTCCGCATGCTGTATGATTCCTAGCCCCAAGATGGGAAAATCAAGATGTGCTAGCGATGTGTTAACTTTTGGTTTTTCTGAGAGATGAATGTTATTTTGATGTTTGAAGGAACGGTACAACACAGTCAAAGAACAGGGTGAACAGAAAGACGACCCAAATGATTCTGGAGAATCTGAACCTGAAAAGGGCATTTCGCTGGACAAGAGTCTTACAGCTGCTTTAGATTCTTTTGATAATCTTTTCTGTCGGCGTTGTATGGTACTTGGTTTAATCTTTCATTATTTGTTGAAGAATGATGTACTATTACACTATCTGATATAAGCCCACAATTATGTCAACTTCTATGCTTATATGATTGTTCTGTCCGACAGTTATTTGACTGCCGTCTGCATGGCTGTTCCCAACCCGTTGCTTACCCTGTAAGAAAGAGTTTTCCGTTCCCCACCACCTTATAAATAATTTAGTTCATTTGTTGATATATTTGATTTGGAGGTTGGCTTGACAGAGTGAAAAGCAATTGTATTGGTCCGAACATGAGGATAGGAAGCCTTGCAGTGATCAATGTTACCTTGCGGTATGGCTTCTCTTTCCCCTAAGATGTTGTAAGACATGATCGTTCGTATTTATTATCATTTTTTGTTTGGTTAATTTTCTGCCATGGCAACCTTTCCTTTGTTGTCTTGTGCGAGCTATGCTAGTTTGCTATCTATTGTCTGTATGTGTTACAATCCCTGATTTAGTTCCGTTAAAGTCTAAATACTGTATTTGTTGCAGTTGACTAGTGTCAAAAACTTGCAAGACCCAAATACTGATAATGTACTAAGATTGGCCTCATCTAGTGCTGGAGAGCCTGGTGGAGATGGTTCTAAAGACATCACAAGTGACGAAAGCTGTGTTCCTCAAACAACTATCGGTGTTAAGTTGGACACAATTTATAATTTTGAAGTTGCTGCAGATGCTCTGAACGAGGATGAATCTGTCATATACCATGAGAGCATAGGGAAACGGAAGGTCATGAAGCATTCAGATGCACCGCCACAAGACCTAGAAAAGATTTCCAATGAGGCCCAGGGTTCAAGTAAAAAACTGAAAAGATTAGCTGCTTTGGATGTAGAAACTGGTGTTTCTGAGCATGTTAAAGTGAAGGATCTTAATTTTAATGTCAATACTATACACGAAGATGTTAGTTCACATAGTGAGAACGAACTTCAGATAATCACCAAAAACTCTGGACGTGCTTCCGCTGATGAACCAGTGGACAATGTCGCAAAAGAACCAGAAGGCATCATGGAAGTACTTGAATTGAAGCAGTCATTTGATTCCAAAGGACAAGTTGAATTGTCCAGCAACTCTGAGTGGAAACAAATGGAGAAAGAATTATACATGAAAGGATTGGAGATATTTGGGAGAAACAGGTAGGTATTTTAGGTGGTCTGCGTACTGTGTTACATTGATCTTTCACTGCCTTACCCCTTAGATGCATAATGTACAACTTATGTTTTGCAGTTGTCTTATAGCCAGAAACTTACTTTCTGGCTTGAAGACTTGCTTGGAGGTGTCCAGGTACATGCATGAGGGTGGAGTTTCAATGCCTTACAGATCTAACGTTGGGTCAAGTTCATTTCTGGACGAAAATGGGAAAACTGACACAGACTGTACAGTAAGTATCATTGGTTTCTAGTTATTATCGTCATTATTGTTGCTTTTTTATCTCTTCTGTTAGACATTAAGATGATTGATCTGGTCTAGAAAGTAACCTTTCTTCAGGTGCCAACTCAAAATCAAACATTCTAGTCTGGCTATAGACCTCTAATTAGGTGGAATCTGATTGAGTTAATTAACCTTTTATCAAGCTGATGATTGGATTGAGTTCATTCACCTTTTAAAATTTCAATATGTGATTTCTTATCAATTTATGCTCGACCATATAATCCATACGCTTACCAGAATAAGCCAATGTGTTTGTTCGATTGGTCTGCAACACAAAAGACAACAGATTTGTTAATTTCTTCTCCTTCTCTCTCTTCTAAGGACCAAGAGATGCCAACAAAGTCACGGTTGATTCGTAGAAGAGGCAAAGCACGGAAGCTTAAATATTCCACAAAATCTCCTGGTCACCCATCAATTTGGAAAAGAATTGCTGACGGTAAAAACCAGTCCTGTAAGCAATACACACCCTGTGCTTGCAAATCTATGTGTGGGAAGCAGTGCTCTTGTCTCAATAATGGAACTTGCTGTGAAAAATACTGCGGGTATGTTAAATTTCCTTTCTATAGGTAACTGAGAAGTAAACAATAATTGCTTAAGATGATATCCTGGAATGTTTCGCATTCGTCATTTCTCCAGGTCAACTTGTCTTCCATTTCAATTGTGTCTTACAGGAGCCTACTAGCCTCTGATCCTCTGATCTGTTAGGGCATATACGGATATGATGTATTGGGATTTCCATACTGTAGGCTGCCTTGACTCAATAAGCAAAAAAATACTGAAATCAAAATTCTAAGGCTGAACCACTAAAAGTTTGGTTCTATGCAAACCAACCAAATTAGTAATATTTTGCATTCAAATTTTCAAATGAACCTATTACATGAGTTTCTTGGGGTTTTACTACAAACTCGGTTATAGGAAATGTCTAGGCCATATCAATCCACTAGATGCACATGCATGAAGTGGCAGTGAATTGAGAGAAACTTCATATTCATACAATTAACTCTTGAATTTTCAGGTGCTCAAAGAGCTGCAAAAATCGGTTTAGGGGGTGTCATTGCGCGAAGAGTCAATGCAGAAGTCGCCAGTGCCCATGCTTTGCTGCTGGACGTGAATGTGACCCAGATGTTTGTCGGAATTGTTGGGTTAGGTATAAATAACATTCTTCTACTTACAGCCGTTACTATGTTGCTGTGGGATGCTTCTTATTTCGTTGAAGCTTTTTAATATCTAGTTCTGTGTTGAACACGAGGCCAAGTGTTTTCATCACCTGCTACTTTAGAATCTCATTTTGTTTCTCACTGTGCAAAGTTGTTTCACCTTGGCGGTTGTAGTAAATATCATTTCCTAATTGCAGTTGTGGGGATGGCTCACTGGAGGAGCCACCCAGACAAGGAGACGGCCAATGTGGAAACATGAGGCTCCTTCTGAGGCAACAACAGAGGGTGGGAGCCCTTGTTTACTAAGTTGATGTTTCAATGTGTGAAAGTCAATCGTAAGATTTATTATTTTTTGCCTCTTTTTTCCTTTCAGATTCTTTTGGCAAAGTCTGATGTTGCTGGATGGGGAGCGTTTATAAAGGTTTGGAGATGAATACAATTCATGTTAGCTAGAAACTTCTAGGAAATTCCTCTCACCAAATTGGATTACGTCATTTCAGAACTCTGTCAACAAAAATGATTACCTTGGAGAATATACTGGCGAACTTATTTCCCATCGAGAAGCTGATAAGCGTGGGAAGATTTATGATCGTGCAAACTCATCGTTCCTTTTTGACCTGAATGATCAGGCAAGATGGACATTTCTTTGGAATTTATCGTTTTGACTCGCGCTTTCCAGCTTTCTCTATTAATTTTAATCTATGGGGTTCATATTTGCATTTGGAAAGGCATGCTAAAGAATACTTGTATGCCTTCCTCTGCTATAGTAATATTTGAAATCTAAAAGCAGCTACCCTTTTTTTTCAACAGTATGTCCTAGATGCTTATCGGAAAGGAGACAAGCTAAAATTTGCAAACCATTCATCAAATCCAAACTGCTACGCTAAGGTATGAGAGTATCAGTTTATTCATTGTTCATGCAGTGCTTAATGTTTGCTGACAAATACATGTGTCTTTGTAGGTCATGTTGGTGGCAGGAGATCATCGGGTAGGCATTTTTGCAAAAGAGCATATTGAAGCTAGTGAGGAGCTCTTCTACGACTATCGTTATGGGCCGGATCAAGCTCCTGCATGGGCACGAAAACCGGAGGGCTCTAAGAGGGACGATCCGTCAACCTCTCAAGGCAGAGCAAAGAAACACCAATCTCATTGATGGTAAATATGATTATGCTGTATATAACTTTCTGGAGGTTTCCCTCGAGGACGATTTCTCGGAAAGGAAGCTTGTAAGAACTAAGAAGGAAGTCATACCTGCCTTATACATGTTAATATGCCTACACATTTCCTATACCCTAGTTTCTAGTAGAGTATGCTCAAGACTTCTATTTAAGCGAATTGACAATAAGGAGGAAGACTTAAATTACTACATGAGCAATAAGCTAGAAAATTCTTCTGGCACTCTTTCCAATTACAGTTCATCAATGGGAAGTTACTGTAGTTGCAGAGTTGTTAACTGTCTTTATGATTGTAAGGGAAATTGCTCTGTACCAAAATGACATTTTTTTTTTATACCATTTTTTCCCTTTTCAATCGTCATAAAATGAATCAACTACTCCCCTAAAAAAAAAAAAAAGAAAAAAAAATCAACAAGTGCGAAATTTCTATTTACGTTGTGCTTAGTTTGATTAGCCAAAAAAAAAAAAAAAATTTGTGCTTGTGCCTACCAAGAGGTGATGAATATAAACCAAGTGTATTTATGATACGAACTATGTATATAAATCCAAGGGACAGATAAATAAATCAATGAATGAATGAGTAAATAAATAAATAAAAGAATTCATCGGTCAAGGAGACTAAAAGCAGTTGACCCAGATTTAGACTGTAAATAAGCATACAAAATTTCGTTCCAGGAATCTGGAACACCAGGAAGACACCAATGACTGCAGTCTTGAATACTTGAAGAAAATTGCTTTCTTGTTCTTTTCCCATACATAGAAGGATGACCGTCTATCCTATATTCAGACAAAGCCGTTGTGTTCAAGACGGTAACAGGAGTTCTCATATGTTTTATAACCTCTTCAACGATCACACTTTTCTCGGTTACGAAACTGCTTGAGATTTTAGCAAGTGGCAGAGAAGCTTCTTTACAATGCCCACCTGAATTCCACTGGCCTCCCCTGTTAAATGGATAAATCAAATTATCTAGTTAATTTTAATTTTAAGGGGTTGAGAATTTCATTGATGAAGCATTTCATTACATTTTTGAGGTCAAACCTGAAATGGGAAGGCGCTGAACTTCTGAAAAAAACTTGGGTTTTGTGGGGATTGATGTATTTATCAACCCATGATGCCCATGTCGTTAAAGCTTTTCTGAAAGCTGAGGAAACGTCAAGGCGTGGATGAACTTGGCCCCCTTCTTGGTAGTAATTAATCCTGATATAGAGCTCTAAATGTTAAAACAATAAAAAAAAAATGAAATTTTGACTTCGTAGCAAGAGCTATTAGAGGTTAATTATATAGGTCAACCTTCCAACTCAGACATCATTTTGCTAATTCAAGGGTTTGAGACATGCCACTTTAATAATTTCAGAAGAAAAGTTTATGGGGGTATTTGACACGAAATAAGAGTCTTAACTCTTATGTCTTTGATCCTTGCAATATGAAAGCTAAGTAAATTATTGCTTCTAATATTCAAATAGGCTAACGGTGAAAGAAATGCAATTCACATATGTGAAATATATCAAAAGTGTCGCATAATAAACCACTGTCCAATCTTTCTAAATTTTTATCATGCGATTGCTGACACGTGCGGTGATGTATGAATAGCAGTCTTCTAACGATAAATGGCTCATCTCAAACAAAAGATCAGACAGTCCAGGCCTAACACTTAAAGATTGGAACTGACCCGGCTTTAGTTTTGTAATGAGACCACCAATGAGCAGTGTTGAAAACCAGAACATCTGCACCTCTCCATCTAGACGAGCCACGATCAACAGAATCAATCCGCAAAGTCTGTACGCGTTTCTGCCCTACTCTTGCCTTACCCTCATGAACCAAGAAATGGCTCACGTAATATTCAACTGTACACTTGTAATCCTGCACAAACCCACAAACGACTTTGATAATTAAGTATTGAAGAGCACCAACAACAAAAAGAATGACAATTGCAGAGAAAACTTTAGCAAGAGTTACCACAAATCTGAAGCTATATTGTCCCTTGTCTTTGGTGATTCTTCTCCCGTGTGTTTCGTAGACCTTCTTTGGGTCCTTAATAGCTCCCATTAGCATGCAAAGCATGGATTCCCATTGGTTCCTATTAATTGAATCCCCCACAAACACTAGTCTTTTCCCTCTCATAAGTTCCAGCATTTTTGTGGCATTGAACCTATCCCCAAAAAAGAATCAAGGACTTCAAAAGTGTAATCTTTTTAGAGTAAGTTCTCGAAGCTTAAAGAGGGTATCTAAGATCATACATTGCAGTTTTCATGCCCTGAAGCTAAGGGACAATACACGAGAATTTAGGAACTCAAAATTGCTTCTTTTTTTTTCCCCTTTAAGCCCAAAAATTTCCTGAACCACCTAGTGGCCTTGCAAAATTTCTCCTTTTTTTGTTCAAGAAACTGCATTATGTCTGAATAAAAGTGATGCCTAAGCTGTTCATACACAATCTATAACAAATTTTTTCTAGTTCGGAACAAACTAAAAAGATTGAAAAAGTAAAAAAAAAAAGTCATACCTTGGAATATCACAATCTTGTGGCTGCCATCTCAATTTCATGTAGCCCTTATCTGGTCTTCCATTACCCTGACAATTAAAACCTTCATCTATAAAAGGACATGAAGCATTTGTATACAAGGGATAACTCTCTTCATAAACCCACCTCCCTCTTGTAACATCACACTTTGCTCTCCTCTTCTCTTTTACCCTCTCAACACTTGAAACCAAATCCTTTTTCTCAAATGCAAGTTCTTCCCCCCTCTCCTCCACAATTTCCTTAAATGAAGTTTCTGATGCATTCTTCTCCTCAATCTTCTCACTACTTGAAACTCCATTTTTCTCATTATCAGTAAAGTCATCACCTTCGTTTTCTTCATCTTTTAGCACTTGGGATTTACCGCTCTTTCTCTTTCGACCACTAATAACTGAAATCCCAGAAGCGTTTTCAGGTTTCCTGAAGTGGGTATTGATCAAAATCGAACCTTTCACTTCATTTACTGAAGAATTCAGACTGAAACCAGTCGTAGTCTGAGCAGTTTTTAGCGGTTTGAGACCCAAAGTGAGAGAGGAAGTGTTGAACTGGAAATGGGTCTGTTGAGGAACCGAAGGGGTGGATTTTATGACCCAAATGGTGAAGAGTATAATGAAGATGATCGAAGAAGAGATTGTGAAGGAAAATACCAATAATCTGGTGGGTTTGAAGGAGAAACTTCTTTGCCTGTCCATAGTACCATTACCAGTTCTTGGTTTGGTGCAAGGAAAAGAGAGAGAAAGATTAACTTCTCAAAGGAAAAAAAAAATTAGAAAGTCAAGTATGTTTTGTTGAGATTGTATTAATTGGTGCCAGAGAAGAAGGAAAAAAAAATTAATGTACAGTTAAACTTATTAAGATTAGTAATGGCATGATGTTCTTTGCGACATGAGCACGCTGGCTGGAGCAGGTGATAGTAAAGCGTTTAGTGGGTGGCTACTGACCAAAATGCCCTCCTTTTTTTTTTTTTCTTTGTAGGAGATAATGGTCTCTCCTTTTTAAAACCACTAAGGCCTCGTTCGTTTCGCTGATTTGAGTTTAGAATTCGAGTTTTGTTACAGTAAAAAGCTCTTACAAACAATCACATCTAACTTTTTTGCTACAGTAAAAGACTCTCACATACAATCACATCTCAACTCAAATTCTAAACTCGAATCATCGAAACGAACGAGGCCTAATTCTTTATTTTTTAGATGTTATTAAAATACATTAAATTAAAAAAATATACATAATAAATAAATTTTAATATAAATTAACGATTAAAAAAATACCAATATTTAAAAAAAAATACTGAAGAAAATATTTTTAAAAATAAAGTAACAGCGGAGAAAGTTTTTTTTTTTTAATTCGTTGCCTTCCTTTTTAATGTTACGAGTTTTTTCTTTTCCCTTTGAACTCTTTTGTGGTGTATTTTATTCAAGAGAAAATAAAAACTTGCTTGCTGGTGTTCAATTTCATTTAATAAAAATAAAATAAAAGAGTGCTCTTGTGCTCGTGGATATTTCATCATATGTCTTTAGCTGAATAAAAAAAATGTGGACTTCTGAAAAAAATAAAAAAAATGTGGATATTACATTTATCAGCAGAATTGTATCCGTTCTCTATGGCTCTATAATTCCATTTATTTCCGTCGCGGATCCCTCATTGGTAGTTATCACTTGCGAAATAATAGTAATAATAATGTGATTTTTATTTTTTTTTCAAGTTCTGAATACTATTTTCTGTTTTACCTCGTAAAGATTAGTTAGCGGTAAACTAAATATTAAACCACAATTCAAATTGCTTTTCATTGCAACGAATCATAGTGCCAAAAGATCTTTTACCACAGGACTATTAAATTTTCATTTTTTTTTTATCCTTTTGCCACAAGTTGAAATTAATTGGAAATAATTGATATCTCATCACATCCATAAAAAAAAAACCAATGGCGTTTAAATAAGTCCTAGACCAATGGTATTTAAATATTTGGTAATTTGCCTTTATGAATTAAAAATAGATTAAGTTCACCTAGTTTGTTTCCGAAAGGAGGCTTCTTGCCTTGTTAAGTTATTATTCTAAAATGAGAATATCATATCATCCTAGTTGAGCTTGCTTTACAAATATTCTCCAAAAACCAGATGCTCTTTTTTTCTAGACACAGACATGTTTCTCCACTTCTTTTGTTCAGTACTCTAATCTTGATACTAGTTTAGCTGGGTTTTTTCTTTTCTTTTCTTTTTTTGCTTTCTTTCTTTCTTTCTTTCTTTCTTTTAAGTAAAACTAGTTTAATTTTGGGTTTGCTTTCATGTGGTGCTAACGTGTCTGAATTATGAAAACGAAACAGGCATTACATGCCATAACATGAGAATCTAATGACACTAAAAAACAGCAAGAAAAGCTTACATGCATGGCAACATCGTAATTCCATGGAATAATTGTTGTCACACGACGTTGCACATTAGCGTACTAGACGTTCATACTAATAGCGACAAGTTAGTTAAATGACAAAGATGTGAATTTATAATCATATCCTTTCTATGGCCAGTTTTGTCCCAGGAATCACATCAGCTAGTAGCTACTCTCATGGTGATGAGTTGGTAGAAGTTTTAATGAACCAAGCGCAACATTTTGTTTCGGCCGAGGAGGCGAACCTTATTATGCTCCCACCTTCTCCATGAGGTGCATATCTTGGAATTGCCGCGGTCTTGCGAGACCGGCGAAGGGGCGGGAGTTGCGAGCTCTCGTCAGGAAGTATGATCCGAATTGCTTATTTTCAATGGAGACTAAGTTAAATGAGGACCGATTGGACAAGTTATTCGTCCTCTGAGATTTCTTGATGCAATAATTGTGCCTTTCGTGGGTTTAGCTGGGGGTTGAACAGGGATTGATTTTGGATCTGGTGGAGCCCAATCGTAATATAATAGTAGTTCGAATTCAGGAGAGATTCGATGAGCCTAGCTAGGTTCTCTGTTGTTATTGTGGTCCTTCGTACCCTTCCCTTAAAGGTGCTTTTTGGGATTCTATGATTCAGAAGGTGGGTAGTTTTAGTGACTATTGGGTGTGTCTTGGGAACTTGAATGTAGCAATGGACCAATCAGAGAAGATGTGAGGGGATGCTATTCGACCTTCTGATGGGCAGCATTTCAGGGAGTTCTTGGAAGCTATAGGTGGGATTGATCTCGGATGCTTTGGGTCCTTTTTCACTTGGAAAAATGGTAGAGATGTGGTGTCTCATATTCGCGAATGGCTTGATCGGGTGATTGGTAGTGCAGCCTGGTGTAATTCCTTCCCTAGGACGGGTGTTAAGAATCTTAACATTCTCTCATGTGATCACACTCTCATTATGTTGGATACTTATATGGAACACGGTCACCTTTTTAAACTTTTTCATTTCTTCGAAGCGTGGTCTTTAGATCCTTCATGTAGGGAAGTTATTGTTAAAGCTTGGGAGAAGGTGGTTAGTGGTGTTGAAAGCTTCACGCTTAGGGTGCAGCTGGGTAATTAGAGATCGGCCTTAAGGAGTTGGAATAGATCCCATCTTGGTAATTGTTCGATCAGATTGAGGGATACAGAGGAGTGTCTCATGAGGCTTCAAAGCATTCCCTACTCTCCTTATTTCTTACAAGAAGAGGCTGAGGTGCAATTGGAGGTCCTGCGCTTGCAAGAAATGGTTGAAAGTATGTGGAAGCAAAAATCTAGAGAATTGTTGCTTTGTGATGGGGACCGCAATACCAAGTTTTTTCACACTTCCACCATTATTCGCCGCCCAAGGAATCATATTTGGGCCATTAAATATTCAGAGAATTCTTGGATTCAGAATAGGCCAGAAATAAGGAAGTATTTTGTGGAGAATTTTAAGGCTCAGTTCCGGACATCTAATTCTCCGAGTTTGATGATCAGTTGATTGGGTTTCGGAGGTCGATAACGATCTGCTGTATAGGATTCCGGAAGCCAAAGAAATCAAAAAGGTGGTTTGGAGTATGGGGCCACTCAAGTCTCCTGGTCTGGATGGAATGCCAAGATGTTTTTATAGAAAATATTGGGATATGGTGGGCCAATAAGTAGTCCAGTTTGTGGAAGAATTTTTCCAGCAAGGTAGATTTGTGCAAAGCTTGAACCATACTTTCATTTGTTTGGTCCCGAAGAAGAAGGATAATGTTTGTTTTGATCAGTTTCGCGTGATTAGCCTTTTTAATTTCTATTACAAGGAGATCTCAAAATTATTGGCAACTCAGATGCAGCCGATTCTCTCCAAGTTGATTTCTCCCTTCCAATCGGCTTTCGACCCTGATAGATGGATTGAGGAAAATTCGGTGCTCGCTCAAGAGATAATTCACACTATCAAAAGAAAGCGTGGCAAGGGAGGACTCATAGCTGTGAAAACGGATATGCACAAGGCCTATGATCGAGTTGAGTGGGAAATCTTATGAGGGTTTTGAAGGCGAATAGCTTTTGTGAGAAATTCTGCCTCATGGTTATGTATTATGTGGAGTCTTCTCTTTTTCGGTGCTCCTTAATGGCAGTCTTCTTCCTCTTTTTGCTTCGAGTAGAGGTATTTGTCAAGGAGACCCACTCTCCCCTACCTCTTCATCTTGTGTAGTGAGGTCTCATCAAAGCTTATTCTCCTTGAACAGAGACAGGGGACGTTACATGGGATCTATTTTGTGAAATCGACCACTCTGGTGGTGCACCTTATGTTCGCTGATGATACGTCCCTCTTCTGTCGCGCAAATGAAGGCGAGATTACGACCTTGATGTCATGTTTTAACCTCTATAAAGGATGGTCGGGACAATGTGAGTAAGATAAAATCTAGTGTTATATTCTCCAAAAATGTTGGAACGGAGGATAAAAGGTGCATTCTACATATTTGTGGAATGAGAGAAATGAAAGGAGATGAGAAATATCTTGGCAATCCTTTATTTCTCTCTCGCAACAGACCTTCTAATTTTGCTTTCTTCAAAGAGAAGTTGATGAAGAGATTGGAAAGGTGGAAGGCTAGAACATTATTGTGGCAGGTAGATCGAGATCAAAGCGGTAGCGCAAGCTATACCAATCTATAAGTTATCAACCTTCCAGATTCCAAAAGGGTTGTGTGATGACATGAATGTGATTCTTTGATGATTTTAGTGGACGGGGTAGGCCAGATATGAGTCATTTTTTGGCCCTCACTTGTTGCCAGGGGATTTGCAAACTGAAAGTGAGTGGTGGGCTAGGGTTTAGGAGCTTTTAGAACTTTAACAGTGCCTTACTAGCTAAGTTGGCATGGGAATTGCCTTCGGATAAGCTGATGTTATGGGTGGACCTTCTAATGCACAAATACTTTTGAGGGATCCTTTTGGGATGTTGAATTTCGTAGTTTTGACTCTATTCTATGAAGGGGATTCCTCGGTGTGAGAAGCTTGGCGGCGAAAGGGAGTTGTGCTCTTATGGGGGACGGTGGATCAATCGAAATAGGGTCAAGGCCTTGGGTTCCCTGGCTTCAATCGGGCATTCCCAGAGCAGCCTTCGACTCAAAATGCTTGGATGTAACTAGTCACCCCTTGGATTATCAAAAAGCAGCGGATTTGCTCCTCTCGAACTCTAAGGAGTAGAATGTTAGCCTAATTCGATCATTGTTTGATGACAAGTCGTGCGAGGCTATTTTGAGGACCAAATCTCTATCGAAACCAACCTGTGATATGTTGATGTGGAGGCCCTCTAAATCGGGGAATTTTCAGTCAGGAGCGCGTATAAGTTCCTAGCAAAGGAAGGGGAGGATATGGAGTGGGAGTTGGGCAAGAGGATTTGAAAATTTAGATTACATGAGCGCTATAAAGTGTTCTTGTGGCGGATGGCGAAAGGAGTCTTTCCTACCGGCCTTGGATGGGAATGTTTTCTACTGACGTTGTGTGTTTAGTTTGTGCAGGTACCTTGGAGAATGATGTCATATTTGCCTTATGTGCCAAGTTGCAAAATTCTTCTGGTTTGCTAGTTCTTAGGGTATCAAGACAGACAATTTACCTCTTCATAATGAAGCTGATTGTGTCAAATGGTTGTTGAACCACCCTCATGGTATTCCATCTGAAGAATTTATTATTTGGGGTACCATATATGCTTCTACCAACTGTGAAAAATGTGGAATGGGTGAGTGCTTAAAGGAGTAGACCACTGCTGGAGGCGCGAATTAGAGGTGATCAACTGCCTGTTCAGCGATCATAAGCGAGATTTGGCGGAGCAATATCAGGTCTCTGAAGTTGTAGATAGTTTCCCTTCTGGTGATCATCCTTCTAGTTGTAATATCCTTTCTTGTGATGATGCTTTTGCAGAAAACAAGGCAGAGCTTGGAGTAGTTTTGTGCGGTTATCATGGTAATGTCCTTAAGAGATGGCTTAAGTACTGTGAAGCAAGTTCAGCCTTAGACGCTGCTCTCTCTACCTCTCTAAGGCCTTCTCGTAGTGGAAGGGGATTCTAAAGTGTGCATGGAGGCTTTGTCGACCAGAGTGCCTCCCCCAGACTGGACAATAATTTCATCCTTTCTTCATATTGTTGCGGCAATCTTAGATCTTTCTAGGATAGTTTTCAAATAGATTCTCATGTTTGATAATGTTTTGGCTCATGAGCTTGCTCGAAAGGTTTTGTTTCGTAATATTAGTAATGTTCAAACTCTAGAAGAAGAAGTCCCTCTGTGACTTCTGTTTGCTGCCTCGAGGCTTTAATAAAGATGTTTCTTCATAGCAAAAATTAAAAAAAATAAAAAATATATGTATATATTAAAAAAATAAAGCTACTCTCATATGTTCTGCACCAAAAATAATTTGTTGCAAGACTTGCCCCAACTTCCTACTTTTGTAACTTGGGAATTGAACACGTACATTTTTAAATTTAACCCAAACACAAAAAACAAAAAAGCAGAATTTTGGGTCTTTGTTTTTAAGTTATTTCTTGAGCTGCAAGTAACTTGCACATGAAATCTAGTTTCTAAAGACTTGCACTCTGCAGTTAGCACAAAAGAATCGTTACATGCCCAATCTTGTCCCATTTTTTATTTATTAAAAGAAAATTAAAAAAAAAAATCAATGAACCAACACCTAAAACATGACACGAATTATTTGTTTTAGTAACAATGTTATTAACTGATAATGATGGATTACAAAATCAAAATTCCGTAGGCAAAACAGATTCATTGCCACATCTGAATTAGACCTGTTTCTTTCTCTTCTGTGCCGCTTAAGTACTTCACTTCAGAAAACTGCCTCAACAAGGGCATGCTTCTTCTTGGGGTACCCCATACCAATAAGGTAATTAAGATACACCCTTCCGTCCTTCACGGTGGCCGCAGTCGCCACGCGGTGCTTCAGCCCAGAGAACGTGGCCACGAGTGAGGCGGTCTCCCACCCGTCGGAGCTCACCACTAACCGGGCAGAAGGGTTGCTGCCTGCAACCACAAGTTTTGTTGGAGATAGCAACTCAAGGCCATCTCCAAATGTCAAAGGACCTCCAACTACCTTAACTGCCTTAACTACCTCCTCTCCCTTTGACAAATCAATTTTGAGCAAGTTTCCACTAAAAGTATGAATCACTAGCAAGAATCCATCTGGGTGGTAAACAATCCCATTCAGTCCTACCAAGTTCTTGTACCATTTTTTGGCGGTGAAGAGAGGACTTCTTATAATGGAAACCAATTTCCCATCTACTCCAACCTTCCAGATTTTGTTGGCTTTGACATCAGTAACATAGGCATTACCTTCTGCATCCACTACCACGTCATCCGCGAAGGATTTCCCACCACCTGCATCCCACCAAAGCAGCAGAATTTATGAAATGTGAAAAGCATGTTTTGGAGTAAAAGTTTCTTGTCAATCAGGAAATGTATGTAACAAAATGCACTAGACCCCACCATATTTATGAGCAGCAGACACACTAGTCATGGCAATACTTCTATAAAAAATAAATATATTAGATGATGGATTTTGAAGTCTGTATCTTATGGTGGAGTCAAGTTTAGACGATTGGTATATTAAATTTGTCACACTTGACAGGTATAATTTTGCAAAATACTTTTTATCACCATAGCAATTATAGCATAACATTAAACTGCCACTCGTGTGATTTTATATGCTTGAGAGTTGAGAAAATGGTGCTATGCAACTGCTTTTTGTTGAAAAACTTGAGATTGGGAATTTAAATTTTACACCTTAAGATAAACTCTAAAGTGGATTCACAACTAGGCTATATGTTTGCAACCACACAGTTGAATTGTGTTTTCTTTCACTTTTGGACAGCTAATTAATTAACGAAAGAAGAAGAAACTCGTTCAGAAAGATCTCTGTCTTCCTTATTTGCTTTCTCTTTTTTCAATCAAATAGGACCAAGCAATAAATTTGATGGCGCCATAAATGGCATCATGAATACCAACTACTGCCTTTTGACTGTCAACAGGATTCACGTCAATAATAGTTTGGGCATATATATTAGGCAAAGTAGCTCAAAACATCAACGCCCAAATATCCATCTCGCATTTATTAGGCAAAAACATTTAAAAACAATGCAACTCTAAAGACTTCATTTTGGTGGTCACCACAAACAACATTAAAGTCCTAAGATTTTATCTCCAAATCTCCAATTCATATATCAACAGACCACTCAAATTCAATATATACCCAAACCAAAACTCTAATAAAGACACAATTTTGATCCAAGACGTTGCCATTAAAAGGGACAACATTTAACGTCAAATTTCAATTAGAGACACAGTTTCGAGTCCAAGACGTTCTTTTGGAGTTATGACTCGTTATTGGGAGAATAGATTTCACTGAAAGAAAACGTAAAAATGATTAAAAAATCAAATCAAATCATTCAACGGCCGAGATCTTTAATCAAAGATCCAATAAAAATGGAAAAATTTAGAAGAAAATAAATATGTCGCGTTTGGGATTTTGTTTATGATTTTCATCATGGGAAATGCTGAACTCACCGGGACTGCTGAGCTGGGTGAGGAACAGGCGCGTCCACGTGGACAAATCATAGGCCACCAAAGCGCTGTAACGGTTGGCGATGACGTCGGCGGCGACGACGAGGAGGCGATTCCTGGGCGAGTCGATGACGAGTCCGAGGGAGGCATTGCCGGCCAACTCGGCCTCTTTGACGAGCGGGACTTCTTCGAGAACAGTGGCCGGAGAGTGGTGGTCGTCGTTGGGGACGGAGACCTGAGAGACGCCGCCGGAGAAGGAGGAGACGAGGAATCGGCGGCCGTGTGTGTCCCACTTGGCGCACTCGCGGAGCCAGCCGGGGCTGTGGTAGAAGAAGACGTGGGTGGGAGGTTCGGCGAGCTCTTGAGAGACGAGATAGGCGATGGGGATGGCGGAGACCAAGAGGAGGAAGATAAGGGATTTGGTGGAGCAGAGACAAGAGCACGCCATGCTGTTTGGTTATTACTTATTAGTTGCAAACAATGAGACAAGTCAAGGAAGAGAAGAAAAGAGTTATTGGTTTTTGTAGTTGTAGGTGAAGGAGTGGGGGAAGAAAGAAGTTTTTTTTTTTTAGCCCTTTATTTTTTTATTTTCTTTTTTCTGCCTTTTTTTTTTTTTTTTGGAGTAAATTCTACCAATTATTTGATATTGTTGGATTCTTTTTTATTTTCGGGAAAAAAAATTTAGGGTCCTTGTGTCGTAGTCGTAGGGAAAAAATGGTTAGGAGCATTTGGAACATCAAAACTAATAAAAGGTGGACTTGAAATTTATCAATTTTTTGGGGTGTGTTCGGCAGCCTCAAAAATTCATAAAAAGACAATTCGAGTTTCAACTTTATTCAAATTCGTGTTCTTTTAAGTTTGAACTCGAGTTTGAGACTAAAACTCAAGTTCAAGTTTCCCCCTCAACTCGAGTTCAGAAACTCGAACTCAAATTAATGAACATTATTTTTTCTATTCTTAAAAGTGCTATAACTTTTTCGTTTTAATCTTAATTGAGATGATTTTTTTCTATGCGTTGACAACGAAAACACGAATAAAACCTCACCCATATACCCTATTAGAATTTTTCATCACCATTGAGTTTTTATTAAAATACTATCTAAATACAAATTCAAGTTTTGACTCACTCAAACACAAGCTCAAAAAGATTCTTATTTTAAACCATAACTCAAATGTACACAACCAAACACAAACTCAAGTTACAACTTCAACTCAAATTATAACTCAAATTCAACTCAAGAACTACACTTAAGTCACACTCTAAAAGAACATGCCCTTAGTTATAATATAGTTTTGATGTGATTTGATTGTTTAAAATAATTTAAAACTTGTTTAGTTCGTTGATTCGAGTTTTTAATTCGATTTGAGATATGATTTTATGTTATAATTTTTTACTGTAATAAAAAAGTTAGATGCGACTGTTTTTTATAACTTCTTATTGTAACAAAACTTGAATTTTAAATTCAAATCGATGAAATGAACATGACATGAACATAGAATCAGAGTGGTTGTGACTTGTGACGGAGAAGATGCTACTTTCTTCCCATTATGGCAGTTAGCCAACCAGTGGAGTTTTTATATTTATTTATTTTACAATTATATTTATTTTCCCTGCCCTAAAGAATCCGGTGGCATTGCCTTGGAGGAAAGGAGAGTAGTGTTTAGAGTCAAAGTGCATTATTTCATGTACCACAATAGTAATTTAACCACATAAAAACAATATGTTTGATATATGATTGGTCGTGGTCATAAAATCGTGGTTTTATACCTAGTTTTTGCTAGAGGTTTTACCCAGTAAACTTTGAACTTATTCTTTTGGAATTTAACTTGAGTATAATTTTTTAGTTGAATTTGAGTTATAATTAGAGTTGAACTTGTAATTTGGGTTTGTGTTTGGTTGTATACATTTGAGTTATGGTTTGAGATAATAATCTTTTTGAGTTTATGTTTGAGTGAGCCAAAACTTGAATTTGTATTTAGATAGTATTTTAATAAAAACTCAATGCTGATGAAAAGTTTTAATTGGGTATATGAGTCAGGTTTTATTTGTCTTTTCGTTGTCAACGCATAGAAAAAAAAATCATCGCAATCAGAATTAAAACGAAAAAGTTATAGTATTTTTAAGAATAAAAAAAATATTGTTCATTAATTTGAGTTTGAGTTTCTGAACTCGAGTTGAAGGGGAAACTTGAACTCAAATTTTAATCATAAACTCGAGTTTAAACTTAAAAGAATATGAACTCGAATAAAGTTGTAATTCAAGTTACCTTTTTTTGAGTTTTTCACAAAGAACAAGTCCTTTGTTTCACCAATAGTACTTAAAAAAAATTTGTTTCACCAATAGTACTTAAAAAAAAAAAACATGAGTTGGCAGCCTAAAACTCGAATAAAGTTGTAATTCAAGTTACCTTTTTTTGAGTTTTTCACTCAAAAGAACAAGTCCTTTGTTTCACCAATAGTACTTAAAAAAAAAAAACATGAGTTGGCAGCCTAATGTTGATCGATGGCTATTGATTCACAACGTCATTTGCATGCTACTACCTAACTAGTATTGACTATTGACCAGTATTTTTAAGATAATTCCACCAAGAAAAGATATTTTTCGAGATAATGAGCAACAAACTGCCCACAAGTAACAACGTTGAAGGTGGTGCATGTTGACAATTTAGATTCAAATCAGAATTTTTGGCATTGAGGAGGAGATATAAACGTGAATTCCAACAGATGCATAACAATAAACAAATTTTTTTACTATATAAAATAGAAAATCAGAAATATTTCCTTGCGTTTAGGAGGGGAAAGAAAATTCAATTAAGAGAAAAAAAAAAAAAAAAAAAAAAAGTTTGACAGGATAGGTATCACCAGTTTGGATTTGGTCGAGCTACCCAGTCCTTTTGCTTGTTGGCTCTGTATGAATTCCGGGCCCACTGGGTGGTCTGGTCATTAGACCCACGTGTTAGGCCCGACAAAACTCTAAGTGGACCCTATCTCTGAACCCACATGAGTCCTCACTTTTCAGGGGTAAAATTGAGATTTGGCCTACGCCAATAGCTCGCATGGCCCATGCCCATCTCATCTCAGAAAAGGTAGAAAAAATTACTCCCAAGTTTCTGTTGCCTCACTCACACAAGTCACAATAGAACAGAGAATTGATGTGGTACAAATACATTGTGGGGATAATGAGATCTGAGGTATTTCATGAGCAAAAAAAGAAAAAATATGTGGGATACAAGATCCATAAAATCATGAACATAATAAGCTCTTGCATTGTTAGAGTGAACAGTAGTGTAAAAATAATTTTTCCCAAAGAGCTTTTTTATTGAAAACACTCAGCAGAGACCCCTTCCTCCAGGGAGCAAGTCATAGGTGCTCATCAAGCAATTTGCCACTGGGTTGTGCTCTAAAATTTGGGGGCCATACAATAATTTGGTGTGCACATAGATTACAGGCTATCATGAAGTTTCATGGAGAAAAAATTAGCAGCATCTCGGTGTTCCAGCCTTGATTCTTGGCAGCCAAACAGACGGGCAATTTACTCTGCAATATGTTCGATCAACTCATAAAGTTATGAAAAACAATACAAAGCCACGACTTGATACACTACGACCATAGTAAGTGTCCTTGTATGATAGAACAATGGGAACAAAATTTATTTGATCATGAAATATGACAGAACATCAAATGCAGCTGAAGCAGGATAAGTCGATTCGTAAGTATACATATTTTCAATAATTATTCTACATTATTGAACCAAAATGACATGAATGAGAAGTTCTCAATTAACATACAGTATCTGATTTCCAAGCAGCTAAATAACAAAGTCTTGGTAGAAAGAAAAAGCTTGATGAAAAGGTAATATTATTTTCAGAGACTTTACAAGTCGTATCATGTAAGAAATTATGAAAAACCTTACCACAATAATGACCTTGGCCCCAAGTTGTATCCTTCATCGTCAAAATTTGACATCTCTGCACCTCCACCTCCACTGGCAGCAACTGTTTTGGTTTCAGAATCTGTAGCTCCTGCACCAGAACTCTCTTTGCTCCCATCAGCATCTACATTTACATCACTAGCATTTGACACGCAGTATCTCTGCAACCATCTATCAGTTTCCCAGAGCACATGCATGATGCTCTCACGTGCGGCGTATCCATGGCTCTCGGAAGGAAGAATCACAAGGCGGCAAAGAGCTCCATGACCTTTCAGAGCATTGAAAAAACGATCCGACTGCATAAATTGCAAAACACAAAATAAACAGCAAGTAAGCAGTTAGATAGAGAAAGAGCACCATAAGCTTGCAATAAGGCATCAAACAAGAGCTCAAAACTCATCTTTTGGAAACAAAGAGGGCAAGATACTCTTACCTGCATGGTTAAAGTTCCTGGGTTATTATCTTCTTCTCCATGGATTAGCAAAATTGGCTTCTTGATTTTATTAGCTGACATGAAAGGACTCATGTCGACGTAAGTATTAGTAGCCTCCCAAAGGGTTCTGTCCTCATTCTACACCAACAAATTAAAGAAGTCAGACTATAAAAGGGCAAACTATGAAACTACAGAACAATACTATAGCAAGATAAGAAAATAAAACCACAGAAGAGAGAGAGAGAACAATACCATAGCAAGATAAGAAAATAAAACCACAGAAGAGAGAGAGAGAGAGGTTGAACAAAAACCCCCCTTCACCCCACAAGGAGGAGGAGGAGCAGCAGCAGGAGAGGGTGAGTGTACTGACCTGAAAACCAAAAGGAGTGAGTGTTCTGTTGTAAGCACCAGAGCGAGCAATTCCACAACAGAAGAGATGAGGGGCATGTGCCAAGAGGTTTGCACTCATGAATGCACCATAAGAATGTCCTCCAACAGCAATTTTGTTCGGATGAGCCACCTTAATAAGCATAGAACATGAAGAGTCTGACTCAAAAGATTTAAACTTGAAGCCATGATAACAGAGTAAAAAATAAGAATAAAGCATACTCCACGACGTAAAACTTCCTCCACAGCAGCTTCTGCACTAGCAACCAATTGCTCTACATATCTGCTCAAAACATATTTCATTACAACTTGATTAGACGACAAGTGATTTAAACTTCAGCAAGTAATTTTAATAGAAATAATTTTAACATGCGACTACAAATGAAAGCACATAATTTTGCAAACAGAAAATTACCTATCATTAGCTTCTTCATCACCCTCGCCAATAATCGGAATTGTTGGTCCCGAAAGAATAGCAAACCTGCAAGACTTGGAGCAGTAAAAAAATTGGTCTGGTGTTTTAAATCAGGCTATATACTGTTAAAAGGTGTGATTGAAACGCGGTGATCCATGCCTTCTAGAAAGCCAAAGGAGGGCTGATGTGGGACCAATGCCAGCAAATTCATTAGGAGAGCCACGGACTTGGCCAGCAGCATCTTTGCTTTTGAACTCCCCGGGATAAGACCATATCAGGCATGGAAGGGGCCCATCTTTTGACGGATCATATCCAGGTGGAAGGTATAGAGTTGCTGTAAGTTGAACTCCATCCTTTCTCTGGTACCTGACCATCTCTTTCTGCAATGATGCTAACTGTGGATAAGGATGAGGGAAATTTGTGATTTGACATGCTTTCTTTTCTGGCCAGCTCAGTAGATAATATTGGGTGTTTTCGGTCTTTGACTCTTTGGACGTCAATATTTTCAACTGATCAATGAGTAGATCTCCTTCCTTCTCATCAGACATTAAGGCAACAACGGTCTCATAATATATTTCTTTGTCGCTTTTCCATATACGTTCTTTCTGTCCTGTGTTTCTGAAAGAAATTGGCTTAGACCACTATCGCACTGATGAAAACTTTAGAGAACAGAATATGAATCAGTTTTTTCGAAGCACCTACATGTCAAATAAATCTAGGAATGGCATGTTTCCTTCTGGTGTAGCACCACTTCCATTTAGTAAAACATAAGTGCCTTCATCATTTTCCTTCTTTATCTTCGCAATGACATAAGTCCCGGAAGGAGTTCTCCGCAGCATGGGTGACCCAGGATCAGAGTAAACGTCTTCTGATGACCTATCAAACAGGATACGAGGGCTGACATCCTTTGATCCAGGAGAAATCACCCATGTTCTTATTCTCCGTGTTTTATACCATGATTCATAAACTAAAGCCAGCGAATCATCACACCAGGAGATGCCTCTGTAAAGATGAAAGTAATAATAGTTTTTCCCAGGTAAAACCTTTAAGCATTAAAGCAGATGAATAGTCCATAGTCATACCCATAACGAAGATCAAGCTTGTGCAGGACTTCTGGCTCTTCACTTTCAAGTGGCTCGGCAGACTGTGTATAAATTATATCACGTGGAGAAACTTCAACTTTAGCATCTCCTCCATCTTGAGTCTCAACCCTACAAAATAAAAATCTCAAGAGTCAGAGAGTTATCCTTCCAAGCCGGTACAAGCAAAAGCTCCATACAAGTAAGATTTAATCATACTTGCATAAATAAACTGTCTAATTATAAACATATGTTCTGCAATGCATACCAGTAAAGAGTACATGGTTTATCGGCTCTCCAGTTTATGGAGCGCATCCCTTTTCGCACACTGTTGAAGGCAATTGGAATATCCTCTGCAAGGGGCAGATCACAGAACTCTCTAACAAACCTTCCATCAGCTGTCCAAACATCTACCTTCTTGGGAAATCTTCCACATGGTACAATGAAAGAGTATGGCCGGTGAATTGAACTGATCAAAATATACTTTTGATCAGGGGAGGGATCCATAGATGTATATACAGCCGGCGGGCCAACTTCCTTAACTACCCCATCCAAGGAAACCAAAACGAGTTGACTTGTGGCATAGTAGTCAAACAAGTCTGCATCGTACTCATCCTTGAGCAAATCCTGGAAAGTTCTAACTTGAATAATATTCTTCTGCTCATTAGATTGAATCTTCGGGCCAAAGGGAACAATGGGTTTCTTTGGAGGGTCTCTCCTAGACAAGGGTATGGTGGAAACTAATAGAGTTGAGTTATCCAACCAAACATAATTGTCAAAAACTGCATTCAGATAGATATCTGGATTCTCAAACAAAGGTCTAGCTTTCCCTGTTTCCACATCAGCAACCCATACTCTAAGCTTGCTACTACTGTTATCCTCCTCATCAACTCTGACGCTGAAGGACAAATGCCTACCATCCGGTGACCAGGTAACAAAATTGATCTTAGCACCATCAGGGAAGCCGTGAACCTCTCTCTCTGGGCCTAGGGTACCATCAGGCATTAACTGATGGATCGCAACGCCCGTGTAGAATGACATACGACTCCTTGCATTACATTTTCCGTCAATTCGAATACCAGCCAACTTTTCTTCTGGCCTTGCTAGTTCTGCCAAAGGAGGTAAAGATCTCCGCTTGAGAAACAGTATTTTGTCCCTGAATGGCGAGAATGACAATGCAGGAAGTGGTGGAGCGTCAACAATATCCTTAATCTCTGGTGGAGGAAGGCGATATCCAACTCCCGCCGTCAACTCATCTATATCATTTTAACTAAAAATGTCAGAAGCTGGATATGGTATCTGTATTTAACCCATTAAAAACTTTTATGAGATATCAAGTTAATTCGTACTTTTTATGAGTACAATTGAAATCTGTTGAAAATCGTAATCCGACATGCATTAATATAAAGAACTGTTTCGATAGTAGGAAAAAAAAAACGTTATGCTCATTTATGAATACAAACAAGCACCACCAATCATCACAAGTTTCTTCACAATTATAATTTGCACCAATCATTGATGCATTTTCTGTGTAGACTAAAAAGCAATAGTACAATAAATCCATAAAATATCAACTCATCACATACAACCTTTAACGAAAAAACGAAACACATCAGAAAAAGTCAGTATCCTACTTTCATTTCAACTCATCAAACCTCTTTCTTCTATCGCTTCAACTAAAATCCTTCAAAGTTCCAACGCAAAACATCAAAATCATTTCCACATCTCTTGAAAAGCAAATTCTTACGATCAAAATCATAAATCGGACTATTAAAGACAAAAAAACTTTCACAATGGAGATTCCAATTCCGAGGAGTTACCTTCATCCTCGGCAAGAGTAGCAGAAGCCGAAGAAGAAGCAGAGCCATTGGAGGCCCCGCCATTGCCGCCGTTCTCCGCGACAACGGCGTTGACGGGGACGAGGTTACGAAGCCTGGTGGAGGAGCCGGCCATGGAGACGGCGTTCCGGACGGCGACGGAGCTGCGGCGGGAGGGGGCGGAGAGAGGGGAGAATTGAGAAGGTTTTAGAGAGAGAGAAAGGGGAGAGAGGGAGAGGAGAGAGAGACGAAGATAGAGTTTATGAATGCGCATCATTCGATGATGTTTGTTTGATACTCTTTTCTTCCCTTCGAGTTTGGGAGTACACTGTGGTGGAAGTACTACTAGCGTGCTTTTACAAGTACCGTACAAACCATATTTGTGACGCCCAAAATTAAAGATCCATCAATTTTTTTAATTTTGTCCTACTTTTTTCTTTACACAAACTTTTGACCAATTATTACCTCAAAAAATTGGCAATTAAGAATTTTTTTTTCTACTCAAATAAGAGATTTGATATTCCACTTCATATCTTTTAGCCCCATCAAAGTAATTTAGGAGATCACTGAATATGAAAAAAGAATTTAAATTAATTTCCCACTCATCATCCAATCAGTTTTCACTCTTCTCCATTCAGTAGAGTCCGTAAATACCCATTTAATTTCTCACAAGGTGTAGGGCAGTAACGCGTGAATATAGAGTATTAAATTCTGAGATGATGGGTAAATGAGACCTAACAAATGTGTCCTTACAACTACACCACGACCCTCAGTGGTTGGCAATAAAAAATTTAGTGGTATGATATAATATTCTGCTAATAGATAATTATTAATCATCATATTAAATTTCTTTTTTTAAAGTAGATTGTATTTCAAAACACGGAAATATAAACGTTAATATTGATACAAATGACCTTGCAATATAAGCCTAATTTAACCCCGATTATTGACTCATTCCACCACTTATAGTGAAAACGGGAAGAGAGGAAAATGTGCTCCTACGTAAGGAGGCTAGCACGGAGAACGAGCACACATATAACTCTTTGAAAACACACATCTATAATCGATGGACAACTCCGATCGTTCAAGTCTAAATACATGTAGATCAAAGCTCACTAATAACATCATCGTGAAACACCTCAAGCGGATGAAACATAACAAAACAATCAGTCAGTAGAGTAACCACCTCCATTATTAAAGACTTAAAACAAACACACAAAAACAAGACACAAAACCACCTCCTAAGAGAGTCACCGCACCTTGAGAGCCCGAAGCCCTGAAGACGCCAACCCTCCCGAAAACCCATACATCATAAGCCATTCTCGACCAGAGCAAAACCCCACCCAAGCCACGGCCACAGATGGAAACCAACACCCAGATCTACTTCGATGAGTGGGACAAAGCCCAAAGGACAAAGCCCGGCGTCCTCCACCAAATACTTTGCCAAAAACTAACTCTTTCCAACCAAATAGACAAGTCTTCCACCAAGCTCTTACTAAGACTTTTATTCATGGGGTCAAGAGTCCGAAGGGTGGCCAAATGCCGCCACCGCCGGACTCCAGCCCTAAAAGGGAATGCTCAAAAAAACCTAATACCACTCAAGAGAATGAGAGAGAGGGAGGAAGAAAAAAATTCGTCATATTAAATTTGTTTTATATCATAAGCGTATTTTTCTTAAATATGAAAAGGTATATAAATTATAACTAAATTTAATGAGCATCTAAGAATCTTTTTCAATAAAGTATTTTGCAATGTATCCAAGGGCTCCCATTCATTATTACCTCAAAAGAGATTTTTTTCCAAACTAAGAGCATTCCTAATGCAATCTTATAATTAAGGTGTTAATTATAAATTTAACATTTGAATGTAAAAAATACTATATAATTTAATGTTATTTATTGTGTCAAATTAATCATATGTTATACTTGTGAAAAATGTATCACTAAGTATAATATATGACAAATTTAACATTTAATTACTATTGGTTAATATATTTACTTTTTTTCTTTAATCAACGTAACTTTTAGATTTTTAAATTATTTCAAAATTAAAAATTTACTTTTAGAACTTTCAAATCTGATTTTATTAGACATTTGATTTTGAAGTGCCCAACGCACTTGCAGAGCACATCATCCTACCAACTCTCATGCAACAGTTCCCAATCTACCTCCACGATGCTGCCGGCAAGGCACTTGTTAAAGTAAGCAACTCTAGGGTGAGCGGGCGCATGATCTTCCACGTGCATTATTGGACGGGCTTTCTGATTAACGCCCAAAAGTGATGTTCACAAGCGATCAATTGTAGCACAGAAGGGCGGCCGTATCCACAAAGAGATAACAAAATAACAAGAATGACTAACAGAATAAGAGCGTTAGAGAAAAGTGAATTAAAAAAAAAGAGTTTTTGGGATTTTTATTGCAAATAAAATAAAAAGGAGAAAATTTGTATGAAGAAAATTCAGTAGTAAAAACGGTAAGGTGTCGAGAATCCCTAATGTTTCGTTCACTAATTCAAGTTTTGATTCACAAAATAAAGGAATCAGATTAATTAAATCTCTATCTTGACTCCGAAATATTATTATTACAAGTTATCCAAAATCGACAATATATCAATTTGACAATATTGTAGTAAAAGACAATTTGTAAAATAATTTAAATAACAAAACAATGCATGACATAATTACATAAGAAAAGCGTGACTGAACTTATATAAAAATTGGCACACAATATTTTGAAAAGTAAAAGAAAGATAGATGAGATTTAATTCATTTAGATATTGAACTTTACAGCACAAGGAATCAAAAACCTGAATTGGATCACTTAACAAAAGTTCATCTCTAACCTCACCAAGAAAACTCTAGCCTAGCTTGCAAAACATTCTCACAAGTTCTAGAGAGAAAATATGAGACTGACAGCAAGACGATAGAAAACTGAATATCAAAAGCTCTAAAAAACCTTAGGCCAACCCCTCTATTTATAGTGTTCAGAGGTTGCCTGTCAAATAATGAAATAAATAGTAAAACTAGAAAATTACAAAAGAAAAGGAAACAAAATAAAATTACACATAAATTAGGAGAAATCATATATTTGATTTGGGGAAGAAATCTGGTAATTTGCTCTGATTTTTGGGGAAGGAATTCTGAATCAGCACAGGAGGGACACGTGTCGAAGCTTGATTGGTAGTGAGGAGAAAACGTGCCACGTGTCGCGCTCGGAGTGGAGGAAGGGCGCTGGCGTGTGCTGGCAGAAGGCTGTCGCGGGGACAGCTAACGCGCGCAAGATGGACGGAGGGTTGGCACGCTGACACGCGGGACCCACGCTTCAGAGTTATTGGACGCGCGGTGATGGCTCCGTGGAAGGAACGCGCTCGCTGAGGAATGGGCGTGCTGGGGACGCGTGCGAGGAAGAGTCAGGGAGCGTGGAAGAGATGGGACCCACGCGGACTGATGCGACTTGGCCGGCTCAACTACTCGGCTCTCTCTCTGATGGCTTGTGCGGCTCGGCTGAGAGGCTTAGCTCCGGATGGTTGAAAATATGGCTTTCATGACTTATTTTTGTGTGGCTTTTTACACTACTTTTTATCTATAAATAATTAAGCAAAAACTAGACAAATTCCAATTAAAAATATTATGAATAAAAATAATGGAATTGTTTAATTAAAGCTTAAATATTTTAATATTATATAAATCAAAAGCAGTATTCAGGGTGCATTTTCATGCACTAATCACTTTCACATTACTAGAGGACTAAATGCGGGCAATGAGCTCTCATTTTACAAATTAGATGAGGTGAACCACTTCCGGGTGGTGGCCAACTCTTAAATCTTAGTTTTAGCATTTGTCTATTTTGTTCTGTCTTTTTGAAAAATATTACATTGGTGTTTGGTTCATATTTCTTGAGGTTTGACACTTTTTCGTTGTGTGCACATTATTAATTGGCTTTGAATTTGTCTTCTCTCGGTTGTTGTTGGATTAAAAATTTCTTCTTTAGTTACTCTTATAACACTGTGCCTTGAACAGTCCCATTAGTTTGTTATAGCTTTCTTAAGTAAGGGATTATGCTTCTTTTCCCTCCTGCAATGGGTGATGGCATGGTTGAGCAATAAGAATCAACACAAGAATAAGTTTTTAAACATATATTTATCATAATAATCTCAGTGACAAATAAAAGCATACTACAAAAGAATAAATAGCCTATAAAAATAGGTCAATAGTACATTACACGGCCCATTATAAAAAATAAATAAAAGAAAGAAAGAAACTAAATATAAGGTCTTAAAAGATGGAGGGTGTGAAGGAACCGGTGTTGGCCATGCAGGATGCAGGAGAGGGAAGGTACTAAATCGTTCATGTGTATTTACGGTTAGTTTAATTTTTTTCAAACTTTCCATCTAAATGTTCTTGAAGCCAGTCGGCCTTTGCATTGATAGATACTTGAAGCTCGTCGACCTTTTCATATTGGAAAATATGATTGTTCCATATCATAAAAACCACATTATTGTAGTCTGGATGAACAGCAAGCCCAACCATACTCTTAATCTTATGCGGCCTTTTCAAGTATATGCTTATTCAAAATGTGTTCTAATGAATTTAATAATTAAAACATTACTAATACAGGTAATAACTACAGTTGTTTTCTCTCTCATTTGCAATTCAGTTAGCTTGCTCTTGAGAGTTTTTTCTTGATTTGTAGGTTTATTTTAATTATTTATGTTATTTCTATTTTAATTTCCCCTCTATTTATTTATTTAATCCTCATTTGTCTAATTAAATTAGGTTAAAGGTGTAATTGGCAATTTAATTGGAAGTAAAAAGAAGCAAAAATTGTAATAAATCAAAATTTCATCTGGAATAGGAGATTTCCCACGCGCAGAGTTCATCTCACTTAGCCTCCCTCGCGTGCACTTGCACACTCAAATTCTTCCAGAGTGCCACATCGCCATGGCTAAAGGCTTCTTTTCCTTTGTGCTCACGAAAAGATTTAAAGGCTTTTTTAGATCTCTCACCGCTTGATTTGAAGGCTTATATCGATCTCTCACCACTGGATTCACAGAGAATGGGTGGAATCTGAATCGGATTTGGATATCAAGAGCTCTCTTCAATCCTTCAATGGCGGACATGCGCTCTGGAGATTCCCGTCGGAGGTGAGTTATCAGATCTTTTTGTTGGTAATTATCATTTTTTCTCATTTCCTGTTTTAGTAAGATACTTGACCACCAATTAGGTAAACAATATTTGCTTCCTCAATAATTCAAATGTAACAGTGTATACTCCTAGTTATACAATGGCAAATTACA